TGACGGGCTGGCAAAAGACCAACCCTAACCCGCCATAGCGGGTTGGCGGGCTGGCCCGCCAGCCCGCCAATTTTTTTTTTTTTTTTTTTACGTTTTTTACAGCATGTTTTTGAAATATAAATTTATCCAAACTATCACCAAAATACAATTATAAGTTATACAATCTAGATTTGATCAGCAAATCCAACACATAAACTAGAAACATAACCTTCAAGGCTTCAAGCCTTCAACAAGTCTTAATCATACAAGGTTTTCAAACAAAATAAGTCTAATCTAATGATTTTCAATCTGCAATAATAACATTAGAAGCAATATCTGAAGCATCCAAAAGATCAACATCAACAATGTCCTTCTTCTTGGTGTCGGACTCGGATGTATCTGCCACATATAAAAAAAAAGTGTTAGCATATTTACTACTATGGTGAGCTTAATATATACAAAACAAATATATTACCACTAGGAAAACCAAGAATCCAATTCCGAGTGCAAATAAGAGCTTGAACATTTTCTGGAAGAAGAGAACTTCGATATTTTGTGAGAACCCTTGAACCAATGCTAAAAGCTGATTCGCTGGCAACTGTAGTAATTGGAATACTAAGAATATCACATGCCATCTTTGAAAGGCATGGAAACCTAGCTGCATTAGTCTTCCAATATTCCAAAACATTAAATTTCACAAACAAATTAGGATCAAGGGGCACTTCTTCCAAATAATAGTCTAACTCAGACTTTTCAATTGATGTGGCATCTTTGCTCTTACATGTAAGATATTTCTGCAGTATTAATCATTAAAATAAAGAATTAATAAAAGCTAAGTAATGAAAAGGGACAGCAAAAAAGACATTTAAGTCATAAGTATTAAAGAATTTCAAACCCACCCTAAAAGCTTTCAAGTAGGTGGTGCCTTCATCATCACTATCATGAGAGGTAGAGTCAGAAGGTGGTGCTGCCATCTCAGTTCTCACATTGAGATTAGAAGTTGAACTTGATTCTCCAACAAAAGGGACCGAAGATGAAGTTGATGATCCCATATTTCTATAATAATTGAAAACATAGTATAACTTGCTCCTAATGTTTTCAACCTTATCATTATAATTGATGGGATCAAGATTTGAGTAAGAAAACTTTATGACATCAAACTTCATTCTTGGGTCAAGAACAATCGCTAGAGAAAGAATTACACTATAATCACTCCAATATTTGTCAAACTTCTCAACCATTCTCACAGCCATATCCCGAATCACTGGATCTTCATCATCCAAATGTGATTTTAACATTAACTCAATTGTAAATATCTGCATGAAATACATGTTAGCAGTGGGATATGATGAGCCAGAAATCATGTCTGTTATCACCGCAAAAGGCTCTAAGAATGTGCACATCTTTTCTGCTCTAGACCACTCTTCATTTGTTGGACAATAGTGGTAATGGGTGTCATGAAAAGCTAAATTAACAAAAGCACGACGATACCTAATAGCACTTTCAAGCATTGTGTATGTTGAATTCCATCTAGTCGGTACATCTAGCCTCAAACCCATTGAAGTTTCAATACCCCCAACATTGTCACAACATTTCTTGAAATTAATGAACCTTGCCTGTGATTGCTTTACATATCTAATGCTCTCCCTAATTTTATGCATAGCATCACTTGTTACTTTCAAGCCCTCCTGCACTATGAGATTCAAGATATGGGCACAACATCTCACATGGAAAAACTCTCCATTGCAGATCAAGCTATTGGTCAGATTCAATTGTTCTTTCAGCAAATTTTGCATATTATCATTTGCTGAAGCATTATCCAAAGTAATAGAAAATACCTTTTTATCAATCCCCCAATCCCTCAATATATCATGTGTCCTTTTAGCCAATTCAATCCCAGAGTGAGGAGGATCCATCTTAGAGAATGCAAGGATTTTGCTATTAAGCTTCCATTTATCATCAACAAAATGAGCAGTCAAACAAAGATATCCTTCACCAGTTATAGAAGTCCAACAATCAGAAGTCAAACACACTCTACAAAGACTGTTTGCTAATGTTTTCTTTAGGATCTCTTTTTGACTAAGATAGAAATTCCAAACATCCACCACAGCAGTTTTTCTAGTAATGTTCTTGTAATCAGGATTTAAATATGAAAGTAAATCCCTAATTGCATCATACTCAACAAAGGAATATGGAAGATCATGTTTAATAATAGCAAAAGCAATCTTATCCCGGACCTTGTTATGATCAATTTGTCTAGCCCTCACATTCCCTGCTTGATCTATCATCATGGCACCAATGTTCTTATATTTTGGAAGAGACACACATACATTAACATGACGCCGGAGAGTTGAAGTCCCATAATCCTTACCACCAACTAAATACACTTTTCCACACCCATTACATGTAGCCTTTTCTTTGCCATCTATAATACTTTTAGTAAAAAACTTCCAAACCTCAGATGTTGTTTTTTTAGCCCTTTTATTTGATTCAGGCATAGAAGACACGGGTGGAGCAGATTCATCTTGAATAGTATTACTTTCAGCAGCATTGTCAACATACTTTCTTTTATGTGCCTCATCACCCATTTTGGTTTAACAACGTATACTGCAAAAGATATTCCATATTTCCATTCAACAATTACACAAACAAGAAAACATTGAAAAAAAAATTAAATTCTACTAATCTATTTCAATCAGATCCAAACCGAAACCGTCCAAACATAACTAAAAAAATTGAAATTTAACTGAAGAAAGAATAATCAATCTATCAATCCAGAATTCCAGTCACAATCTCAGTCTCAGCCTTAACAACTAACAAGTGTTAAATTAATGACTTAATCAATCCAGTATTCCAATGAATTAGCAGTTCCGCACTCACCGACGGAGCAAGAGGGAGACTTGGAGCAATGGAGCTCGAAGAACCCGGACTGGAGGCTGGAGCTCGACGACGATGAAGAAGGGAGACGGACTCAAGCGACGCGAACGCGATCTCTGTCTCTGCGGCAGATGACCTGCGAGTGAGAGTGCGAGACCACTCAGACCAGCCACCAACTCCAAGAGCCCCTAGTCGCTGTCGGTAGTCGCCAGAGACGAGAGTGAGCCTCGATTGAGGTTGAGGATTTGAGTTCGAGACTTGAGAGAGGGTCAGAGCAGAGGGGTGTCTGTGTGAGATGAGAGCCTGCTGTCTCGGTCTCTCGGACTCTGCTTCTGCGTGATGGAGCGCCGACGCCGCCGAGCGCCTGAGCGAGTGAGGCGAGGGACGGGGGGGAGTCGTCGGGGACGGCTGGTCGACCGGTCGAGTAGACGAGTACTCGACTACTCGAGTGACGAGCGGAGTGGTCAACTGCTGAAACTGGAAGGCCGGAACCCGGAAGTCGGAAGACGGAAGGGTTACTGGTTAGTGCGGAACTGCGGACGGCTGAAACTGGAAGGCCGGAAGTTGGAACTCGGAAGACGGAAACGGAGTTACGGAAGGGACTTAGCCTGTTAGCCACTTAGGGTTATGACTTGCGCTTGCTGGCTTGCAGATGATTAGTGTCTTACTCTTAGTGATGTGGAGTCAGACAGGCAGGAGTGAGGAGTGTCTCGGTCTCTCGGAGGGAAAACCGAAAAAAAAAAAAAAAAAATATGACGGGTTATACGGGCCAGCCCGCCAACCCGCGGGCTAACCCGTTTTAACCCGCGGGTTAAACGGTCCGGGCTGATGTAACCCGTTTTTCAGCGGGCTAGAAAAAAACCAACCCTAACCCGCCTCTTTAGAGTGGGTTGGCGGGCTGGCCCGCGGGTTACAACCCATATTACCGGCTCTACTAATATATAATAACAATTTAAATTAAAAATAAAATAAAAATAATGCTACAGTGAGATAAACGAAATAAATATAAATTGATAAATAATGAAGCTATAATTATATAAATCACATTATATAATCACATATAATATTATTAGGCCTTATTATAAATAAATTATATAAACAACATATATAAACAACATAAATAAATACAAACAAATATAATGATAGAAAAAAAAATATAAACAATGTAAATTATATATATGTATATGAGAGTTAGTACAATATAGATAAAACAACAGTAAATTATATATATATATGTATATATGTATATGAGGGTCAGTACAATATAGATAAAACAACATGGGACATTGTGAATTATATGTATAAGAGAGTCAGTACAACACAGATAAAATAATGTAAAACACTATAGATACCAAATGGAGATGATACATAAATTACATCAATTATTTAAAACAAACATAATATTTTACAATGTGACAACAACATAAAATGACTTAAAATAAAACAGAATGTTAACATAATATAAAGCATAAAAAGGAGAAAAATAAAATAACATAAAATAAATATATATATAACATAATGAAAAAAAAATTAAAATGTAAAGAAAAGAACAATAGAGTAACATTATGTAATATAAAACATGATAATTAAGAAAGGAGATAATATAAAGTTAATATGTAGTCAATACATAGATATATATTGTGATGATTGAGTAAGGAGATAATTAGACGATGAGAAGAGTGTATCATTTTACGAAGGGTTTATACCTCAAATTTTCAGAGCAAGGTCGTGCTAATAACGTGTTATAAAACTACAAGAAATAGAGAGAATGAAGAGTAGAAAAGAAAGCGAGATAGAAAAGACAATGGCCTTTTCTCATTCACTTTGGTTCAAGATACAAATGCCTCATGTATGCCCTCTATTTATAGGCCTCCAAGCATTGAAGTTCTATACTAAGGTTACAAAGGAATAAAGAACATCATAATAGCATTAACAATGAGAAACTCCTCCCAAGTCATTCATTAGGGAGGTTATGTAGTTTATGACACTTGAAGGTAAGGAATCCTATGAGAATTCTAAGGGTTAGGGGTTATGGACATCCACTTATACAATATTCATAACACACCTCGATTTTTTTGTTGTTTTTCTCAAAATGCCCCGAATCGACACATCCCAAAGTAATTGTTCGTCCAGTCATCTTATTTGTCCTGTTCTCTGCTCCATCTCTTCCTTCCCCTCTCCAAAAATGAGAAGCCCAAAGCCAGAGGCATTTCTAAAATTCAATTCGTTCATTCCATTCTCCACAAATTTATTGAATCTCATCCTTACTTCAGTACTCTTTCACTGATCCAAACTTTCCATTGTTTCCATTTTTAATTCCAAAGCGCTGGGGGGACCAAAAATGAAATTGCAGACTTCTGATACGCTAAAGAACTTAAAAAGGCTGCGCTGGGTGAGAAGGAAGAACCGTTAACTTGGAGGGAAGACGACCCCGCGGGCATCAAACAGCCGGCGACACCGAAGATCCGCCGACGAGGAAATGTTGGCGCTGGGGGCTGTTGAATTTTATGGAATGATCGATGATTCGTAGAAAAACTCAGTTCTAATTACTACTATTGTGACTGTGAATGTGAATGTGAATATGAAGAAACGGAAGGCAAATAAATAGAGGGAAGGTGCTGAGATAAGCGGAGAACACAAGTTGCTTTAACATATTGGAATAGAACAAAGGATGTACAAATGGAGAAGTAAAAGAGGAAGAAGCATGAGGATCAAGCAGAGAAGAAGCTGGCAGAAGCGGCGACGCCCACTTGGGATTTGGGCTCCCAGGCCCACTGGAGGACCTCTCTCTTGTGCTTCATCAGCCTCTGAGCCAAAACCGAAGCTCCTTCATCAATCCTCTCCTGTGATACGCCAACGCCATCAACGCCAGCCTTCCTCAGAATGCTGACCCTCCTCTCGTACTCTTCTGCCACCAACATTGCAATATCAGACATCCTTGCTTCTCTCCTCCTTCAACAATAACTGGATCAGATTTGTGTTGTTTGTAATTGTAACTGATCATCTCAAGGCATTTATAGAATGCAACGTCTCCGGAGGTGGCCAGTCAGCAGTTTTGGATAAGGCTGAAAGCTCCCACTTTTTTCTGTCTCTTTCATATATCTTTTCCCGTAAAAGTAGTTGCTGCCACGCGCATGTGGGCTTGGTCTGCGTCCTCCTCGTATAATCCTACGCGCCTCAGTCCTTAGACTATGGGCGCATTCCAATTCAACCTGATTTCACTCCCTTGATTTGAGTGAACCGGACGGGATGAAGGTTCTGATGAGATTTACTATAACCATACGCAAACATTTTAAGGGTAGTTCGGTACCCCATACAAACTAAACTACTTTTGGGCGAAACTAATTTGAACTGAATAGTTGCAATTTTCAGTTGTCTTTCTATCTATATGTAAGTTAAAAAAAGGTGATCAGAATCCGAATGCTACTTTTATCTATAATTAGGTGTTGAGTTGGGCGCATTGAGTGATGAAAGCAAGGGGGCGAGGGGCACCGGCCGTGACACGCTCCTCATAGCATAGCAGCATCGCACATGGCCTCTGCTCTTTTCACGTTCATTTTAAACGTGAAAACGCCCACACGCGGACGCGGTTCTCTGCTCTTTATGTTATCGTCCTAAAGTTCTTCGCTTCCGTGTTCTAATTTATTCCACGTCATCGTAGGCTTAGGCGCCCCGTCATATTTTAATACCGCAGCATTTTACATATGGGTAAATCTGCGGTTCCAAGTCGGGAGTCGGTTCTTTTAGATTTTATCTTCTTCCGTCTTTATCATCCGTCTGTTGTGTCAAATTCTTCACAAAGGGCCTTCCTTTTTAATTATTCGAGCACTTTTTTCGCACTCCAAGAATTTGTCACTTTCGAGGCGACGGTGCAGACATGATCTTGGAACCCAAAACTCATTTCCATTTCCCCCTGCTTCACACGTCTCATCTTATTATCTCTTGCATTGTTATGGATTCTGGATGTTGCTACTTGCTATTGTTATTAGTTTGGCCATGACAAGCCCTCCAAAACTCAACGTTACCCCCGAACTGTGTTCCTCCCTCTTTGTCTAACCCCCCCCCCCCCGGTTCTCACAGTCTCACAATGGAGGTACAAATTCTACGATTATCCTCTGTTAAGAAGACATAGGAAACTAACAACGATTATAAACCCTTGGGAAGATAGATCGAAATCTCGACAAGTAAAGGACGTGAAGGCCACTGTCTACTGGTTTTAGTCAGTTGCGCCTCCTTAGCTATTACTGTTAGTGGTTGTTTGGATTGGTTGCAAGACTTCTCAAAAACAGATTTTTCAACCGTAATTTATAAAATATATAGAGTGAGTAGATGAAAAAAAGAAAAAGAAATAAATTGCTTCCAAACAAGCAGTCTCTCGCCCGTGGCTGTAACTCTTGCGGTGTAAGATGTTTCATCAAGAAAACGCTTTTTATGAATAGTGCAGATGACCGTTTACAACGCTTGTTTTATCCGATATTTCGTAGTGTAACTTCATAGACAGCACACCACAATTCGAGTATTGAACAGCCTGTGAAAAATGCGGACACCATACTTCTTAACAAGTATTAAAGGGACCCTTGTTTTCTTACCTTACTGGACGGAACAGAATTTGTGTTATTAAAAAAATAGAGAATAGAATTTCAAATACACTCACGTATGTGAGCAAAATTATACAAATCTATCTAATTTGAGGCGGCCGGGACATTTTGTGTATAACCGGAAATCTCTGTACTCGGCCCACCTAAGGAGGGGGCCGGACTGTCTCAGTGATGTTATTCTCGTCAGCGAGTAGATGACTCCTTCACATTCACAGTACTCATAGAAGGCCCAGTGTTTTCAGCTGCTGAACATGCTCGAGTGGGAGAGATGGGGGAGACCAATCAGACCCTGCCATCTCGTCATCAACATCCTCAACCACATACTCCTATGATAACAAGCAAAACAATCAGATAATCAAGTTCAATTCAGAATGCTCATTGGGACCTTTTGCGTCAACTTCGAACATGCATTACTAAATTTGTCCATATCGCAATATCAGCATCAACTTTCAAATTTCAATCCCTCAAACTGAGTGCTGAATTTTCATCAACAATACAAACTGGAGGCAACAAGACGCTTTGACTTACAATGCCAAATGGACAAAAGAAATGAAAGTGAGCCAATCGCACCTTTGTTAGCATCCTTTTTGCAAGGATATGATAATGCCGCTGCCATATCCGTTGTCCTACCATAGTAGCCACCAGTGCACTGTAAAATATCCCTATTACAGTAAAAAGTCCTAGAACAATCAATGCCATTATGAATAACAGGGGCAACCCCGCTTCCCCAGCACCTCCCAAGCAACCACCACATTCAGTAGCCATAGTTCCGCAACTCTCGAAGCATGCGGTGCAATCAGTCCACATACAAAGAGTGCCCGGCAAATGACAGTCTGCACAAACTCTGCAGCAACAAACAAGATCAACCTCGCACTACCGTTCTGGATCATAAATTGGCAGCTCACATACGATACTTCTTATGACACAACATAATTTCATCTGTTTAGCATGTGGAAGGATCTATAGGTAAAATATGCATTTTGTACTTTTTCTCTCCATAAGAAGGATGGTTTTCAATAAAGTAAAATCTCTGGCACAAAGAGGACCAAAAACAATTTAAAATGAATCATCATAGTAATGCTTCGGGTGGATGGTAAGAGTTTAATCACGTGGCCCAGCTGTATCAAATTTTCATGAATAAATAGGAGTACAGCAACTACCCAGGTTGACAGCAACAAAGACATAATTCTCGACAAGGCTGAGCTAAATCATTGCGAACCCTTCGATCATAACAAGTAATGAAGCACCCAGAGAGGCCAAGCAAAGCAAAGAACAATAGTGCTCCTACATTTGACAGTACAAACATAAAAATTATGCCCAAAATAAGAATATTCTATGCGGAAAAAGAAAACTCTGAAATAGACTTGTATAAGCATTGGATAACTATGCAAAATCTTAATATTTTACCACATATATAGTAAAAGCTAAGCTCGCTATCAAAACCCCAGATAAGACGAAGCCAATACTGCTGGTAACCATCTATTAGATAAACCAAATAAGCAAGTGAAGTAATGACCTACATACAATGGAAATAAGGTTTTGAATTAGAACTAGAAAAGGACAAGCATCTGTATGGCTAAGATAATGGGAATCGTTCACCTACAAGCTGGACAGCCAGAAATATAAACAAAATGTCTCTGGTAACAAAGAATCGAAACTTCAAGGTTCGCCATTTCCTATCAGCGGCAACATGCACACGCAAATGATAAGGAGCCTTGCAGGTTGTGCAGTGAGCAAATGCAAACCCTTCCTGCAAAAAGATGAGCCAACAGCCATATCCATTATGCATGAAGCAACGTCATGTGTAGAACTATTTGGCAGGAAACAATAGTCCAAATGAGCTCATACTTTACAGTTTTTCCATCATTTGGTAAAAGCAAAAACTCAGCCAAAGAGAAGAGGATTATTACAATGAATAGCCAAGACAAGTTCCAGGAAATCATAATACCCACATGGTATGTTATAGCCCAACAAATATGAGAAACATAAGGTTTGCAAACAAGCCAAAGAACACAATTTACGTCACAGCAGAAGATCTGGAGGAGTGATCTTCCCAAAAAAAAAGAAAAGATTACAGGGCACACAGAGCAAACCAAAGTTCTATATACGAACTAAAATTAAATAGAAAGTCAAATCTTTTCATCACTGGTAATGGGAAGACGCAGCCAGGAAGCAGAGAGTGATCAGAAAGAGGGCCAAAAAGAAAAAAACAGAGAGATTTGGAATCAATGAAAAATTTACGAGACGAACAAATAAGAACATCAACAGGTTCTTGTTGAAACAATCAAGGGACAGCCCAGTGCACAAAGATCCGGAGGTCCTTGTTGAATCAATAAGATGAAGAAATAATTCACTGATGACCAGAAACGGCCAGCAGTCAGGTCAGTTTCCCAAATGCAATCATCATGCGTGAATTAACAGCCAGACTAAGGTCTCTAAACAGATGTGGTTCCTTGCTGTGGCCACATTATATCATGCTTTGATAGTTAAATCAAAATTTGATGGATAGTCTGATGTTGCATTCCTACCTTAACAGCTCGCCAATGATCCAAACACTCTCGATGTACATATTTTGATGTGCCCTTGCACTTGCAAGGAGCTATGAAATCTCTACCTGTGCAAAAGAGAGAAGATAAGATACATGTTCACACACCCGATGCAGACATCAAAAGTGACACAAGCACATTTTTTTGCAGCAAGTTAATATACAACTACAATATCCTTCCCAGAAACTCTTTAAATCCCTCAGTGATAATTGAGGCATCCACGACATCATAATGCCTATGACAATAAAAATAAGTCGTATAGCACTTAAAGAAGTAACCATGAAATGGTGCAAATGATTGCTTAATCATGTAGTTCAAGTTCAAATTCCAATTGAAACGAGCGTAAGAATACCGCGTTGAATTACTCCATGTAATCAAAATAACTGCGATCATGAAGTCTGGTTCGTTATTAGATGTTATTTGATACGATAAAATTGAGCTTAGACAGAAAATTTAGATTAATGAGCAATTATTTAATTAAAAAATTCATTATTTCACATTCAAGCAAAATGAGCTTGGCAGACGTATTGATTTGCCTGGAGTTCATAGCTTAACCAAAATAAAATAAACTAAACGCATGCTCTGCCCAAAATAAATAAATGCACGTAATTCAGAATAACTTTTCATTTCATTTATCACGCCAGATGCCTAGCTGAGATTTGACTTCAAAAGATATCTGAAATACAATCTGTCCTAACCAGGAAATGAAAATAAAAACAAAAGAGACCATGGCCAAACTACCGTCTGTTTCGAGACAAATTCGGCATTGAATTTGTTCGCTCGGACCGGCCTCAAGGTCGATCTCGCTAGGGTCAGTGATCGGCGGTGGAGAGACCAGGGGTGAAGAGTCTGAGTGATCCGCCATTAAAATACTAAAAAAATAAAAAAACTTTAGAGGGCAAGGTAGAATTGAGATGTGAAATAGAGTTTAGAAGTGAGTCCGAAACCATATGGTTGCATAACCGAATCTGCCCGACTGTCCTCCCTCCGTCCCTTTAGTTAGCCTATAAATTTCAAAGCTTCGGCGTCCGTCTGAGGCAGTGGGATCAAACGATTGAATTAGTGAATTCCCCAGTCTAGCCACCTTGTTATGAAAAATTAGTAAGCCCCTCAAACTTCAACACAATATGCCTTGAAATTGTGAGGGAAAATATATATATATATATATATTTTCAAGTATTAATCATGATGTTGATTGCTGATGATGCATGGATGCGTACCGCGACTTCATTCATGTACTCATGTGATTTAAGTTACTGAAAAAATACAAGTCGTCATTATTGCATTTTAATCAAGTGATTCATTTTCTGTGCTATTGGACTTGCATCCCCCGTCTACTCTTTTATCCACATAAAAATAGTTTTTCTTTTATTCAACATTTATCTCTGCGTAATTGGACTGTTACTCTCTTTTTTTCCCCCAAAAAAAAAGCAAACTAACGTGTTAATTGGGGGAGCCATTATCACAACTTGCCACTCCTCCTTTTTGTATTTATCAAAGCCCTCCATCGTAATTAATTTAAAGCATATTTCTCCTGCACGGCACTTGTAGCCTTATATTGAAAAAATAATTTTTGGATCAATTGATTTTATAACAATTTTGATGGCAACTCTGTGGGGACATGTTTATTTTCCTTTTGTAATACTCGATACCCACACTTGAGTTAAAGTAACCATCACTTAAAAAAAAAATTAAAAAACTCAACAGGCGTTTGCACTATGGAGGTGGTTTGTATAGTGACCATGACTTGTTTGAACCTTTCAAGTTCAACTCAAATACAAGCATGCACAAAAAGGCTGACCATTTTGTAAAACTTAGGGTTAAAACAAAGAAAATAAAAGCAATTTGTAGAACGCCCAACCAGAGCGGACCGATTGAAAGTGAGCTATAACATTGCAGACGAAATACGAGAAGGAAGATAATTTTAAAGCTGGAAAGCAACGAAAAGAATATGAAGGTTCAAACAAACAATACGGCCATAAATTTGTAATTTTGCTTTGAATTTAACACTACCCGCACAATAATGTGATAATCTAATTATGCAATGGAAATCACAGATTCCAATTAAACATGTCCTAAATAGGTCTTCTCATAAACTGAATAAAAACTTGCTTGAAGTTAGCACCCAAATTCGTACAGAACCATACAAACATAAGGCCTGATCGTGCTACTTTACTTCATCCTCTCCTTTGGGGCCTGCAATGCTTCCTCTTCTTCCTCTACTTCTTCCTCTTCTTTGGGGGCTGCAATGCTTCCTCTTCCTCATCTTCTTCCTCCTCCTCTTCATTCTCTTCCTCTTCAACTACTTCCTCTTCGTCGTCGTCACCCCCCTCGTCCTCTTCTTCGTCATCATCCTCATCGTCGTCATCGTCGTCATCTTGCTCATCACCATCCTCCTCATCTTCTTCATCCTCGCCATTCTCTTCTGCGCCACCACCTGCACCAGTTTCAGGAACCTTCTTTGGGTTGCTCTTATCGTTAGAATTGTTGCCATGTCCGCCTCCATCTTCGGATGACAAGTCCTCTTGGTCCTCTCCGAATCCGCCATCTCCTTCATCATCCTCGCCTCCATCCTCGTTGCCATCCTCTTCCTCCGCATCAACTTGCTTCTCTTGGCTTTGGGTGTTACAGTCTCCACTGATACTCACCTTGTCTGTGATCAGCAGCCGGACAAGATCCTGCACCCATTTCATGAATATAATATATTAAATTTATATCAGGCGGTTTTCAGAGACGAAAATATACAAACCTTCGTAATTCGAATTCAGCATATACATAATATATCCTTTATAGAATACAATCATAGCCAAAAATTAATGCATATAAACATATGAAATTGTGCGAGAGAAAATAATTTAGTCCAAGCACCGTTTTCATCCAGCAAAAGGACGCAGAGAAGGCCCTTCCTTCACTATAGATCCGAATTGAAGGATCCACTTTATTTTTAGGATCAATTGTGTGCGCGCGCGTATGTATTCTATTGAAGTGTACACTACACCTTACACATAAGTCCGGGTTGTAAAAGGTAGAGCATAACTTTTCTTTTGAATGCAAATTGAGCACGAACTATTTTTAATTATTTTTGTCCGCGATGCTCTCCCCAAGTGGTCGGATTCCGATAGAAGACTCCACTACGCATTACAATGTCCTACGTCCGATGGGATCAGATTCGCCCCGCCCCATCCCCCCCCGAGAGAGAGAGAGAGAGAGAGAGAGAGAGAGATTGGGGGAATAATATTATATATAATTACATATTATATATAGATATATGAAAGAAACTGAAGAACTTTGATAGGTTCGCTTTACGCTAATCAGCACCTCCGAGGGAATAATCCATCGTCGAATCCAATTCCTCTCCCATTCATTAGCTTGACTTTTGACTTTTCCCCTCAGACACGACAAAAAGATATTTATATCCCGAACCGTCCCCACAGACATGCCATAATATCGGATAACAACGACAAAACCGCAGCTTTTGTCCCTCAGTACTAGTTTTCCTACGCCCAAGGTGCGCACCTTAGCGAACCTAGACTCAACAACCGGCGCACCGTACACCCAAAATTACACACCCCTTTCGGGGTCGGGATCCCGCCCCTTGAACAAGGCCTTAGGGGCAAAGGGAGCACCATTATTATTTAATTTTCAAAAAATTATCTCTTACTTAAAACTGCCACAAGTTTCGAACTTTGGCACGATGAACATCCTGATTTTTTTAAAAAAATAAAAATAAAAATATAAAGCTGATTGAGATTCAAGTAATTTTTTAAAGAATAAATTGACAAAATCTAAGGGCCTGTTTGTATTGACTAATAAATAACTTTTCAAACGTGATTTATAGAATACGAGGTAAATATACAAAGGAGATTTTTGTCTCGATTTATATAAACCTGCTAAAAGTCTATTTTGAACAAAACTCAAAACAAGCCCTAAACCGATGGTCTACAGTTACAGTTACTTTGGGCAGAGCGGATCCCATGATTCCCATCCCAAAGGAAAGGAAGGCACAGTTGGTCAGTCCGGCGCACATTAGCAAAAGACAAAGATATCAAAGCACATTCCCAGACTGCAACTAGGATCCCTCTAAATCAAACGGGGAATTCAATTGGAAAGAGCCATGCAAAAAACAGGGCTGAAATTAGAATAAATATGTTATAAAAGTTTAAAACCTAAAATAGCAGTAAATCAGGTCAGGGTGAGAGCCAGTGAGATTTCTATTTTTCTTTTTACCCCTCACCAGTTTTTAATTACACCTTTTCAGGTTTGGATGGAGAGAGATAAATCACATACCGGGGCCAAAAGCTGGGTTTTGACGAGAGCTGAGACCAGCAAGGTCGCCACAGCTTCCGCGGCGCATGTTAGCGCTCCGTAATTAACCGTACCGGTCACCGAACCCTGATTAGCTTCCATTCTCTGCCACCAACAGTTACCTGCCAAATCTTAGAAAATATTATCGTGTAAATAAATATAAATAATATAAATATATAACACAAAATGTTCCAGTTGACCACCGTCAGATCTGTCCTGAAACCAAGGACAGCCACTGATCTTGACTATTCTACTAATCTTATTTTCTTAATTTCTAGTTAAAAGCAAAAGACAATAAAACTTTTAGTTTGAAAAAAAAAACTCCTCCTAAATATCACTTGCAAGGCCGAGAAATCGAAAAGAAGATTTCCCCAAAAAGTCAGAACAAGAAAATAACGGGAAAAGCAAAATTTTTAAAGCGAATCGTGAACTGATGGTGTCGCCAGAAGTGTCAAAACTCGAGCAAATTCTGTATGAGAACTGAAAACCTAAAGAAGCACCAAGTTGAGCGCAGAAACTGAGAGATCAGGAAGGAAGTGAACCAAAAAGCTTAAAGCAGAGTAAAGAAAGTGAAGAACGAAGCAACAGCTTAAATCAGAGAGAAGTCTAGATAGATGAGTTGAAAAGGCATACCAGGAGAGAAGATCTGAGGACCGATAAGCGGGATCTGGGGGTTCCGAGCTCTAAAACCTCGCGAAACAAGCGGTATAAGCCCCGTTCATTCTGGACCGTCCGATTCTGATCGTAGAAGCACAGAGCACCAAAAATATAGAAATATCAGAGGTCACTTGAGCTGGGAGAGAGGGAGGGAGAGACCAGGAGAGAGATAATGGTGGGCTGTTGCCCGTAATTTCTCAGCCAGGTATCGGGTAGGCTGGGCAGCCGGGTGGCAAGGCAAACGGATCGCGTTGGGAGCTGCCCGAAGAGCAGGTGAGGACAAGTGTGGGTTATTACTTAAAAATCACTTTGTTCCTATGGGGAATAAGGACTGATTAGTAATTACGTTTCCCCGGTCTTCAGGCGAAAGTCAATTTCAAATTTAATTTTTTTAAAAAAATCTCAACATTCAAATCCAACGTCGTTTGTTTTATTTCGATTGGGCTCTTTAAAGAAAAGGCCTCAGCTCTCGCGTGTTTGTTAGATATGGTTTTCTTACCATGGTTACGCCACCCTGGTTGTCTAACTCCAACTACTACTCAGGAATCAGGATCCATGAGTAAGAGTAGATGAGAAGCTTTGTTCTGTATCGTTAAATTAATTAATAAACAACCAAGATCGTGGTCACCGAAGACCGTACAACACGAAACAAGCAAAGAAAACAAGAAATAGTGTCCCAGGAACCTGTGCTCATTTGCTACTGCTACAACAAACCTCCTCCTCATTTTCAATTTTCACAAGCCCTACGTGGGTATGCACGTACTTGGGTCGACAGATATACTGACGGGAACGAATAAATGCTGATCCAGCGGGGGTGCATCAGCTTCCCCCGATTTTTAATTGTCAGAACGTGGGCCAAGGTTGCTCATCCTATTGGGCTTTGAGAGGTCCATTTATGGTGTCCGACAGAAGCCCAACAATCATGAGACCAGACCAAATTGGTGGCTGAAACCTGAAAATGAGAGAGGGGGGGGGGAGAGAGAGGAGAGAGAACAAGAAGGGGCGTGATTAGATGTCGCCATCTAATCTAACATGCTTTATAGGGTGAGGTGATTAATTTAGAAGAGGATATTAGGTTAGGTATTATCCTGTTGGTGGTTGCGTAACGCTGTTCAAGGCTTCAAACAACACATCAGAGAAGTTTCTCTGAGGTGGTGGCACAGCTGGCATCTATTGAGTACTGAGATGCTTTCCTTTTTTTATGCCCATGATGATTACATTTCATGTGGATCTTGTTATCCATGCATAATGACTCCCCTAATTTCTTATCAGTCTTCGCGTCTCTCAGATCTAAACTCTCCTCCCGCCTCTCTTCTTGCTCCTCAATTATTTTATTTTTCTGGCCAAACTGTTTAAATTTAACGTTGTTCATCCCCCTGTGCACTTATTTATATCTATTTATATATATAGTGCGCTATCCTTTTTAATCCACGCTTAAATTAAACGGCAACTTGTAATTGGAGATTGCAACGCCAGAAACAAAGACGCGCTCTCTCTCTCTTTTTATCCACTTTAGCACGAGTATGGCATCTCAAGTAGGGATTTATTTTGCAACGTAGTATTCATATGTTCGGGCCTTTGATGCTTTTTTTTTTTTTTAAATAATCCTGCCCCTAATCAAATGTTCGACTTTCGGTAGACTGTTGTTATTACTCACACTTTAACGTTTTTTTTTTTTGGGAGACGATAAGAATCGTGTTTGTTTTACTCGATTATAAAAATTATTATGGCGTGGCATTTTCATGCATGATCTGTGGCTACTAGGCCTCCCACTAATTTGGATATAAAATCTGTAGTGGGAATAGGAACAACCTCACTGACAATAATCTTATGTTAAGCGTGAATAGAACTAACCACTTACTTGTCAAATTAATTAATACGACTGTCATTTGATACGAAGCATAATTATGCAAAAACTCGAAAAAACATTTACTATGCGCGTAACTTCAAATTTAGTTATGGAATTGTGATTATATTTTTCGGTGATATATTTTACAGAGTCCGCACATTGAAAATTGGAAGCCTAAATCGGCATAAATAGACTCAAAACACGTAAACACAAGGCGGGGGAAAAAAACACAGTGAATGTCCTATAATAAGCAAGTAGTATGGACCTATTGTTATTTTTTATATCAAAATTTGTCATATGAAATTATCTGGTTATTAAATTTCTTATACCAGACTGCATTATAATTTTCCAAAAAATATATATATATATAGAGTGGTTGCCGGTGGCTCGATGGTGTGTAGAAAAGAACAGGGGAGGTTGATGTGACTGAGAATAAGAAGATTTCCTGACGCAAAGAGAAAGACATCATGGAAGAAGCCGTGAAGTTGAGTTTGATCTCATCCGACATCTTCTAAGTAACTGCAAACCCTCCAGCAGTATCCATTTTGGTCAAGCTGGTGATCTGATCTCTCCTCCTTTTCTATATTCACTTGGTTTTATTTTTTTGGCTCTTGCGTAACCAGCCAATGGCAGACGAAATCGGTGTACCCCACAAGTCACAACCTCTCAAATTGTTTATTTTCTTCAGTATTATAAATATGTTATACATTTTCGGTCCTCGGCCTTTTTGCCAAGTATATCACACATGATTTTAATTCTCAATCTGTAGAAATTACTCTTGACACATCACAGCCAAAGACACCTTCATAACCACTCTTAGTGACAACCCACACCAGACCGCACTGGACAATAGAACCACAAATGAGAACAAAAATAATTGAGGGTCACTTGCGTGACGTCTCGGTTCAATTATTATATATTTTCAATATAATTCTGGCCAAGTATTAAAACTTATTCCATTGAAAATGTCAATGATGCACACATCGCTATCATTTTGTTGCTTTTTTACACACCATTGACGCCAACATCTAAGTTGTAATATATTCTATGAAATTATAATTATTTAAACTTATCATTTCTTATAAAATATATTATAAGATGCCACACCCACACTACGTGCTTGGAGATTGATGCATTTTAAGATAGATTTGCGTTGTGGGTGACGCAATCGAACCTCACAACGATCTGGGCTCGAAGAAGCCGTTGGTCCCAACAAGTACATACCACCTCCGGTCATAATTATACGAACTTGTTTGTAATTTATAAACAAAATCTTATAATTAGAACCGGAAGTAATATTAATTTATCTTAGGACACATGCTTCACTCCATCTTTGTCCTCCTACATTGTTACATCATGCCCCCATGCCTGTAAATATTCAGGATGAGGATTTGGATCCAAATATATAATAACGCAGAGAGCGTCTATGACTACTTTTTAAAAAAGTAAAGATTGGCGAAAAGTGGCCCCTAATTAAAAAATTTAGTTATGAAAAGGACCTCATGCATTTTTATATTAAAAAAAATTCAATACTCCGCAAGATTTCAGACATAAAAAATATTGGTATCTGAATTCAGGTTCTTTTAATCAATAGAATTTTAAAATAAAGACTTTTTTCTTTCAATTTTTCCGTTTTTATCCATCACTCTTTTATTTTATACTTTCTTAACTGTGTTTTGATATTGACTCATTCCTGTGTCGTCAGATTATTTTAACTCAATTATTTTTCACACAACTGCACCCAAATGAAGTATCACAGATTAATTCAAATGCTTGCATTTTTATATTCACACACACATCCTATGGTTTTATTTGCATAGTATAGTAATAATTCGTCTCTTTTAAAGGTAAATTTATTTTAAAATAAAACGAGTCTTATTTTGAAAGTTAACGGCAATTGGTTCATTTTCATAATCAGATTGAGAATAAAATCAATATGGATATCTATGAATATTCTTAAAAACGACCCTTGCCTTGTATTTTTTTGAAGAAAGATTTGAGTCTTGAGAAGTGAAAATGTTGACAAAGGAAGGCATAAATATTGGAGGGGGGGGGGAAGCAAAGCAAAGCCAATTGTGAAGAAGGAGAACAATAAGCCTGCCTAACTAATTAATACTGCTGGGTCTATCCAAATATAGTTAAAAATTTCAAAAACCAAAACTATTGCTCGGCAGATTCCACTTCTTCTTCTTCTTTTTTGGGTTTTTATCGGCCAATAGGCAAGGTCGGCCAAAAATACCAAGAGATGACGTCATGTATAATAATACAGATATAATGAAATATATGTGTGTGCGCGTGAACATGGGATCCAACTAAAATATGAAATTATGATCAAAATAGGGCCCTAGGGGTAGCTGAAGAACCAAAATGTGTGATGGTCATTCTCGTCCCGACGTTATCTGAAAGGCCAGCATCCTCTTTTTATTCAGTGTCCTCTCTTTTATTTTTTTTTAATAATTATATGTTCAGTGTCCTTTTCTGCCTGCACGGGGACAAATAGACTTACAACTAATTGACAATTTTATTTTAAATAATGGCCTGTTTTGGTATCCCCCAAGTGGCCAATTGTACTTGCTTTGCGTTGGGTTAGGGCTTACGATATGATAAGCGACGCCCGATTTCTCCATTTAATTTCTTTCTTCCTTCATTTAACCCAAATACCCGTTTTAATTTGTTCGTTTGTTATCTACGCAAGAATTCAGAAATATTTTGCGTGTTTTTCACCTCAAAAAAAAAAAAAAAGCTGTGTGTGTGTGTGTGAAACTCAAAGGAATTAATCAAGCCGGTAACGTTGTACATAACTGAGTGATTTAATTAATCAAGGTGGCTGTATATCCATAATAATCTGTTTGATTATATGGGATATAACTTAACCCATGCACTAGTTGTCGCAAATATATGGCTAAATTCCATGCTGGTCTCTATTATACAAATCACTTGGGCTTGTTTTTATTTTCAGTTAATGATTGTTTTATTCCATTCTATCATAAAAACTCTTAAAACTCATTTTTATGGCATATTGATCTCTTTAATTTAAATAACTATTCCACAGTAAAAAACATTTCCAATCATTTTCATGTCATGCTAAACACAAATTCAACCGTCAGCATTACTTTTCATTGTTTTCCCCATTGTTCCCATTTGTTTTCGTTAATAGCCTCATCTTCATGGTAACCGAACACTTAACGTAGGTTTGGACAATCGCAAACCATCTTCCAAATTCCAAACGCTATCCTCGCGCGTATCCCTTCCGCGCCCCATTGCTTCTGGGTCCCTGTCTTATCTCTTTCACTCGCCGGTGACCCACAAGTCTCCGATCACTGGACTAATCGGTATGTGACGTCATCCAATCGCTGAGAGGGGTGCGAGCTATGCACCCACCATGTCCACCTGGTGCGCAATATAATGGGTAGTGGAAGTATGACGATGACTGCTATGCTTAGCTTATTGTGAATTCTTTGACTCTATCAGAATCACACAATGACACGCAGAATACAAGTACATTAACAAAATCAAGTAGTCTTCACCTTCAATAATACAGCTTCATCTCATATACTATAATCGATTCAAACAGTAAGTCGAATATTATAATATAATTGGTGGAATATCACAACGAAGAGAATTAAATTAGATGCTGGAGGGTCCCTTGCTCTCTTTTAAGCTGCGTTGTTCCTCTGTCGATCATGTTGGGAGCTTAGGGTCTTGCAAAGGATAGTCCTTGCTTCGGGGTCCAAGGAATTTCGCTGTGGTTTCGTAGGTTATCAAGTGACAAGTTGGCATGATTTGAGCGGGAAAAGCTTCTGAAAGTAGCTTTTAGTTAAAGGTACGGTTTTTATCCCCTTCTCTTCTCATTTCTATTTCTATATTAGAAGCGAACTAAATTCCAAGGAAAACAAGGAATTGAATAGAGATCGAAATCTAATGACTTCCCATGTGAAACTGATGCGTTGGCTTGAGGTAACTGCTTATGCAGTCTTTCGTTTTCTCTCCATGGTCACTGGGACTCTCTCCCTTAACTTTTCTTTCATCTTTCAAACCACCATAGGGGATTGAACTTGCTTTTCAATCCCAGAAATGGTATTCTGGTCGTTGAATGAAAGTAAACCAAGCTTTGAAAACGGTTTTCTAGTTGTCACGTGTTATTATGATTGTTGAAACTAGCTAAGATGAAGGAAGGAACTAAAGCATGAGCATATGTATACATGCTATCTTCTTACATTCAGCGTCGGGATTTTTTCTTCAAATGAAAGTTTTTCTTTTCTTTAATCGTTAACAGGTCCCAAATAATGCTCCTAGCGTTCATTTAAAAATGAAGTTTCTTCTGCCTCTCTCTCTGCACTCTCAATGTATTTCGATCACAACTAAAATTGAAAGAATGATGCCATATGGCGAGACTTCTTGATTCTAAGCTCCAGGAAACTGATGCCTTCTACTCCTCATCTTACTCTAACGCTGGAACATCTAAGGAGACTAAGTTAGACTACTTTAACATCTCTTGCTCCCGAGCTTTCTCATTATTTCAAATCTCAATGGTAGCCAGAGCTAAAGAGCTGGGATAATGATGTCTTAGAAACTGAAATATTTACCTTATGTAGTTCTGTATTACATTTGCATTAGACGGCAAATTTTGGGCACCATTTAGTTTTCTCTCTCTGGGTTTTACCTATGAGCAATATATTATCCATCAAATACTAGAAATTTCCTTGCATCGCTATCTGTTTTCCATTGTCTTTCCATTGATTCCCAGTGATAATTGTTCTTTGATTATCTTGAGTCATCCAACAATTTTTATTTGTATCGCCGTAAGTTTCTGTTCCTGCATTTTCATATCACGATTATATCAGAAGATTTCCCCTAGTGTTTGACATTTTTGTGCCGTCAAACCATGTCAGTCCATAAATGTAAATGGGAAGTCGATTCTATTAATTTTGATTTTGCTATTTCATTGTTTCTATTATTACTCTTTTGAGTTAAACTAACTTTTAGTGACTGATTGACTTACATGCATTTTCTTTATTCTTCACAGCAGTTTCTTGTAAAAACAATTGGTGTTAGTGCTGATTGAAATCCTGCACTAATCAGTCCAAAGAGCATGAATTCAACATCCACACAGTTTGTTTCTACGAGAAGGATGGGTTTATATGATCCTATCCACCAGATTAGCATTTGGGAAGAAAACTTCAAGAATACTTGTAATTTAAGTGCATCTGTGTCTGTGCCCTTAATTGGTGAGGCAGATGTGAAGTTAGATAATCAGGTGCAGCTTTACAAAATTTGTGCTTATATTCTTTTTGGTGAATCAAATGCTTCTTCTGTCTGCTAAGAAAATTAATTTTGGTTGGATAATAGTCAGAGGATTCTTCTCATGGAATGCTCGGAATTCCAAGGAATTATGACCAAGAAGCTAATAAGTCTATTGAAAAGGTAAAAAAATATGTCCTGTGCTTCCAGATTTTGGATAGCTGGCGCGAATTCATATTTTCCATATTTCAATTTGATGCTTAGATGGCATCTAAGCTGGGAATATAACATCATAAAACATGCAGATACAAAGACGCCTTGCACAAAATCGAGAGGCTGCTCGTAAGAGTCGTCTGCGGAAAAAGGTTTGAAATTTTTTGCATTCAAGATATGTGGTAAATATAAAAGGTTTTATGACATCTGCCTTAATTTGTATATGTTATCTGGTATTTCCGTTCAGGCTTATGTTCAGCAATTAGAATCAAGTCGTTTGAAGCTGATCAAGTTAGAGCAAGAGCTGGACCGTGCAAGACAGCAGGTATAGAGAAGAACTTCATTCAGATCTTTTTCAGCAGTTTGTTTTCTATAGACCAACATCTGTTTTTTCCCCCCTCTTTTAATTTTTAAGGAAACAAAACTGCAGGGATCTTTTATAGGTTGTGGATTGGATTCTGATAATTTGGCATTTGCTGGATCTTCAAATTCGGGTTTGTTATTCTGTTGTTAAATGGTGATCATTCATTGTTGTTCTTGACTTTGTAATTCCTTGTCGTTAATCCATATCTTGATAGCAGAGACAATACTCTTATTTTTAAAACTTAAGCTTTGTTCTGTGAGTAGATCACTCACATGCAAAGCCATAATCTAAAATTTTGTTTTCGTTACTGCGTTCCCAAAATTATTGTATTATACAATTCATTTTTCCAACTAATTCTTGCATTCTAAATAGAGTCAAACTAACAACTCTGCAGGAATTGCAACCTTTGAGATGGAGTACGGACACTGGGTAGAAAAACAAAATAGACAAATTTGTGAGCTGAGAAATGCTTTAAATGCTCATACCAGTGACCCAGAGCTCAGAATACTTGTAGATGCTATAATGAATCACTATTCTGACCTTTTCCGCATGAAATCAGCAGCTGCGAAAGTGGATGTTTTCTATGTTTTGTTTGGCATGTGGAAAACAACAGCCGAGCGGTTTTTCTTGTGGATCGGAGGATTCCGCCCATCTGAGCTTCTAAAGGTAATTCTTCATATCGAGTGAACGAAACTAATTCTTATAATCTAGGACTTGTTCCCATATTCTTTTAGGGTGCTGTAGGTAAACAAAATAATGATGAATTTATAACATTTTCAATGTATAATGGCTACACGAAAAAGTATATTTAGAGACTTTTAACATCCAAATGTTCTCATGTCTCTGGAGAAGCTTCTTGCAATGCTTGGGAGAGGGAAAATGGAATCTTTGTCTTTTTTACTATAAGAAGGGCAGGAGATTGAATTTTTTTTTTTTTTTTCAATTTAACACCCTGAAATCGTTCAAAGTCCCCTACTCCTTTATAGTTCTAAATTCTCTTGATTTGGGAAATTTTTGAGAGTAAAGTTTCATCAAACCATGGGAAGGGGAATTATCATTTAACCTTCCCTTACCTTCCCTTCCCCTCTCCTCCCAACTCCCAACAGATAACCCTCTGTTATTTGAAAAAACGATTCTAAAGTTTGCCTTTTCAATCTGGATGGTTTTGTTTCCGCATACTGGATCTTTACGGGGAGTTCTATTACTTCACAATAATTGATTTTGGAGTTCAATAGGACTGCTATCTGAATCACCGGTATACTGTGTCTTTTCTCGAATAGGAACATCCACACAGTTTGTTCTAGAGGGCAGGGTCAAATCGTGTGGCATTTAAATTGCAGTGTCCTCGTTCCTTTTTCAAGAATTACATAGCCACACTTGACATGCAAATGTTTACTGAACCACTTGGTTCAAATGTGATAATTTCTGTTGTTAGAGTAACTTTGTAACATATGATGTATGTCAACAAATTTATTTTTAACTGCAGGTTATTGTCCCTTTGATCGAACCCTTGACAGAACAACAACGAATGGATGTTTATAACCTAGGACAATCATGCCAGCAAGCAGAGGATGCCCTTTCTCAAGGCAGGGACAGACTTCAGCAAATACTTGCTGAGACTGTCGCAGCTGGACAACTGGTCGACGGAACTTACATTCCTCAGATGGCTAATGCAATGGAGAAGCTGGAAGCTTTGGTGAGCTTTGTGAACCAGGTAATGAACTTCACTTTCTTAACAGTCATTCCTTTTCAATAAACGCAATGTCCCAAGCACACTTCAAAGAAAACTGTCCTTTTCCAACATGTCTTTGAGTGCCTTGACCTGCCTGGAGATACAAAGAAGGGATAATCCGTAGTCTTACATCATCCATGAGAATACATTGAAAGTCTACCTACAATCTTAAACGTCAGTTTAAAACTCTTGGGTTAAAGTTAAGTGGGATGGTCCTTTTTCTTTTTCTTTTTTTCCGCAACAAAGCATTCACTTTATGACTTTACATTTAGGAGGAATGATCTTGGAAGTTAGCCATAGAAGTTGGATCATGAAGTATACCGCTGTTCTCATTCCGTCACTCACGCAGACAAATACCATAATAACTTCTAAGTGCATTTTGACTGCTGAAAAGCTGTGTCTTGGCTTTTAGAAAATTTAACCAAGCTTTACGTGAAACAGGCTGATCATCTTCGGCAGGAAACCTTGCAACAAATGTTCCGAATCCTAACAATTCGTCAGGCAGCTCGGTGCTTGCTTGCTTTAGGGGAATATTTCCAACGCTTGCGGGCTTTGAGCTCCCTTTGGGCTAATCGTCCTTCCGAACCCCCTGCTTAGTTTTGCAAACACAGAACAACCTTGTGACATGAAACAGAGACAAGTGAGTGGCCTGCGACTCCTACAACGCAAAACGCGTCTTCTCCAAGACCATGAAAACGTACCATGCGTGGTGCAGGGAGCCTCCAATTTTTCCAGCTGTCTTAGTGCCATGGAGAAGTTGTAAATATGGACTATGGTCATCATATACAAAGGAGTATGTAAATAAATTAATGGTGGCAGCTAGGCGATGCTGCCTTAGATGAAACTTCTAGAATATGTAATGAGTTTTCATGAAAATTGGCAATGCCGAAGTAAATGTTTATAAAGATGTGACGTCTGTTTTCAGAACGTGTCGATTCTTCATGGACAGTTATTTTATCTAATATCTCTCGCCAATAACTTATCTTAAAATGCACATGTTTTCCTTTTATATTTTTTATTTTCCTGATTGCTGCTTATGTACGAGAATGAAGAGGCCGTTGGGCAAGTAACCTCAACTGTGCAAAGGTCGAATGGACACCATGTCCAGTCAACAACTCTTTAATTATACGATTATCTGTCCTGAATCTGGTCATAAATTACTTAATAACTGATGCACCGCGTAATTCACCTCTGAAAAGACACACGGAATTTCGCAGCGAGACACAGTTTTCTAGACAAAATTTCAGTACGTGGGGCATCCCCTGTTCAAAAGGAGAAAAAACGGGGGAAAATCAGATTTTAGAAGCTGCTCCTACAAGACGTCAACTCGAGAACAGCCACTTATTAATCAGTAGAAAATTTGGTTCTCCGTACATGATTTTCTAGTTAAATGCCATAACCCCAGGTTGAAATTCAATTCAAGAAACCAGTCAACATTCACTACTGAGAAAATCTATCAATACATGAGAGAAAGAAAATCACTTTGTACGGGGTTGGGCATTGCATTGTTATTCAAAGGGATATACGTGAAATGGATGGACTGGGCAAGTGCTCTTCCAGCATAGCAATCTGGCCCAGTAATCCACGAGTTCATAGTATGTCTGGTCATCTCGGCTCCTAGCAGATTCTCACAGCTTTGAAATAGCATAGTCCAAGGCATCCACAACAAAATCTGCATATCGTTAAGAAACCGGTGAATGAAATGACATTCTTTCCTCAGAAGAATTCGACAAAGAATCAACTTTAAGGTAGCACGGAAAGAACAAAACCTGCGTCATCTTTGGTGAAACACATCGGTGGCTTGATCCTAAAAACATTTCCGTGCAATCCTCCTTTGCCAACTAAAACACCAAGCTCTTCACAATTCAAAAGCAAGTAGGTGGTTAGCATGTTTAGAAGACATTCTGGGGAACGCTTTACATCTATAAAACAAGTATTTGGGTTGGCCAGAGTATTTTGGCACCTCTGAGTTTTTCAAATAAAACTGCAGTTTCGGCCTTTGCAGGTGTCTTTTCTTTTCGGTCAGTAACAAGTTCTATCCCCACCATCAAACCTCTTCCCCTCACATCTCCAATGACTGCCGCAAAATATAATAATTATTAGAATATACAACCATATAATTTCAGCAAAATGAGAAACAATCGCATGACAGCACATAAAAAGCAGATGCAAACTGACTCTCAGAGAGCAGGCCATGAGCCCATGACTAGGCCCCAGCAACTAAGGGCCCTCGGACCGAAGTTTATGCCTCTATTCAACCAAGCATACAAACGAAAAAGTAGAATCCAAAACAATGAAAGAAATATTTCGGGGATGTTAAATTTTAAGATTACATACTTTCATGTCGATGCATAAGAGACCTCAAACGCTCAAGCAAGTGAGAACCAACAACATCACAATGAGATAGACGCTTTTCCTTATCGAGAACCTGAAGCACTGCAAGTCCACCAGCAGAACATACAGGGTTCCCACCAAAAGTATTAAATTGAATCTTTTGGGCCATCACGCTTGCAATTTCTGGAGTTGTAACTACGGCTCCTAATGGCAAGCCGTTGCCAATACCCTGATACGTGTTACCATGAGATACAATAGTGAGTGGGCAAGATATGGAAGGCACACAAGGCATTTCGCCAAAATCAATTTAATGAAAAAATAGCATAAAGAGAACATAAAAAGAATTTCCAAAATAATAAAATGAAAAACATTAAATTATGATAAATAATATGAATAATTAATATGATGACAAATAAATGATGTTGCAATTCAAGTGCAGGATTGAAGTGTCCGGATTTTCAGGAACTAGCAAATAATGAGATGATGGTCTAGACCTTTGCCATGGTAACAATATCAGGAATGACACCCTGCGTCTCAAATCCCCAATAATGACTTCCTGTTCGTCCAAATCCAGTCTGCACTTCATCAGCAATGCAGACACCACCTGCCTTGTGGATAATGTCATATACTAGTTTTAAGTACCCAGGAGCCAGTTCAACTGCTCCTCCAACTCCCTATATGTCGTGGATAAAATGTAAATAGGAAAACCAGACCAAGAGGACCCTTGAATATAAATTTGAGCACTAGATGCGGCAAATCATATGAACCTGTATTGTCTCAGCTATAAACCCAGCAACATTTCCTGAAGTGCCATAGTCAATGTGATCCTGTACTTCTTTAGCATAAGAACTAGCATCTGAGCCAAAGACTCCACGATATGGATCTGGGTTCATAACGTGATGAATTTCACCCTTAAAATGTCAAAAATTGTTATAAGAATAACTGGCATACCACCTCTTTAATATAAAAATGAATACTGCATTCACAATGGTACATTTTCAACTAAACTAGCACGCAATGCTCGTAAATTTCTTTGCACTGCTGGTCTGGTTTCCCTTAGAAACCAAATAGACAAACAGAAAAAATAAATTCAAGCCTAATCATTTTGACAACCATGCTGTAACCTTGGTTCCTGAACTAGACAGGGTAAACTTCACGACCACAGAAAAGTAAAAAAGGAAAAAATAACTAAAATAAAATTGTACTGCCGTGGTTAGCGGTATTTCCATGCAGTTGGTAGTTCAGAATTAACATTGACAGTGCCATGTAAAATTAATCAACCATTAAAGATCATGTGAACTATTAGATAGACATACCTCTGGTATTGGATATTTCCACGTGTTCAGAGCAGTCAGCCCAATTGTGCTAGAACTGCCTCCATGATATGCATTCCTCAAAGAAATCATACCAAGATTACCAGTGTATAAACGGGCCATCAACATTGCTAATTCATTTGCTTCTGAACCAGAATTCACAAAATAAACAACCTGAAATTCAAATTTCCTTACTTGACAATTATGCTTAACATTTCAAAATTATGAAGAAAACTAAATATATTGGACATAGTTTCACCAATCAGTGCCTTAGCAGAAAGACTCCTTTCCATCCCCTGATTTCATTCATTAAAATCTAACTAGATGCTATGGATAAATGAAGCAAAACAATGAAGTGGAAAAATTGTTGCTAGTTCAAAAGCATACTTATATTGGACTATTGGGCGAGTATTAGAGACCTTTCGAAAAGGTTAGGCATTATAAAATCATACTCAAGTCAGAATTTGTAATTAAACACAACTAATGGAGAGAAGGTTGACCTTAAGGTTTCCAGGCATTTTTGATGCCAATGCCTCAGCAAAATCAGCTATTGCATGGTGTAGATATATAGTGGTAGCATGCTGCAGAAGTTTGCTCTGCTCCATGATAGCATTCAAAACTTCCGGATGGCAATGCCCACAAGAAACCGTAACTATTCCAGCAAAAGCATCAAGATAACGCCTGCCACTCTCATCAAATAGATATTGCATTTTGCCTTCCACTATGTTGAGCTGTTAGTACAATAAAAGTTTGAATTAGATATCCAGCGCTTATGGAAAAACAAGGAAAGAAGTATCACTACATGTGCAAAGTTCACACATTATACACTTGATATGTGGAGGGACCTGGACCATCCATAGCTTAATAATCAGTGACAAGATATAATAACAGTTCTGGTCATGATGAACCGCACAATGCTAAGTGGGAGGAAATCATATTCGGGTCAGGAGATCAGATCCCGTCAAAACCAAGAAAGGTTAAGGGGTGTTAGAAGCAGAACAGATCATTGCAGAAACGGCATTCACAGAAATTTTTTCAAAGAAATGCATTGAATGGCGAAAAGCTACTGTGAACTTGCACGAGTAAAGCGTATGCAAGGACATCAGACCAGATATTGACATTGCTCAATGTATCAGTTCGTTTTGATTGTCCCTCTGAAACCCAATGCTAACATATAAAAGAAAACAGAGAGCAAAACCCCTCGCTCAACCCAAAAAAGAATAAAGTAAATGTTTAGCTGGAATGAGTTAAACTTCTCCGCTTTAATCCATTCATTGCATGGTTGCGCCCAAATTTTAAGAACTTCCTGAACATGTCCAGATTCATCTGCGGTTTCATCAGTCATCAATTAAAAGTTATCAGATTAGCATTTTACTTATTCAACGCATCGACTTTCATCTATAGAATGCTCTCGATCGGATAAATTTGAGAAGAGATATCTAAACAAACGACGTCCGGTTAAAATCAAGAACAATAGCTCTGTAAGTGAAAAACTGATACAGACGAAACGAAGATTACCACTATTGATACGCATACGGATCAGAAAATAATGAGGGAACAAGATCCCAGGCCAGCGAAATGCATACACACACAAATGCAGAGCAGAACAGAAAGGATAACACTTTTGATTGCTCGTTATTGCATTTTTCAGCATAAGCAGGAAATGTTAAAAAAAAAAAAAAAGTAGACAGGGTCTGATTTGTTCCGGAGACTTACAGGTTTCTGATAGTAGTGGAATAAGGAAGGACCGAGGAACTTCTTGCGTTTGGCGAAAACTTCGTCGGCCAATGGGCCTTTGTACGGCTGAGGCTGGTAATCAAATGGTGGAAGCTGAGGCAAGAGAGCATCATGGGTGGCAGTGGCGGAAGTAGTGAAAGGAGAAGAAGCTGTGGAGAAAGCACCGCAGGCAGAAAGGTCAAACCTGGACTTGCATTTTGCGATGGCTCGCTTCAGTAGCCTTTGCAGAGCCATGGCCCTACCGATCAGATTCCTGGATCAGCGATTCTGGGAGAGGACAGAAGAGAATTTCTGGACATTACTTGGTAGTGATCATGAATGGTAGTATGAGAAACAACTGATTGAGCGGTCATTATATTCCAGCAATAAAAAATTATGAAGAAGATTTGTCACCAAAAAAAAAAAAATTATGAAGAAGATTCCGTAAGTGGCCCTGGATCGAGCTATCGGATACTTCGAATGTTATTTTCTCTTCGCTCAATAAACGCGGTTTTTTTTTTGGGAAAATTAAAGGGGGACCAGGTGAAATGATACGAGTATTTATTAAAAAAATCTTAAGAACCTTAATTATTTAAAAGCATCAGATATTAAAATATAAACTTAAAGTGACTGAAATTATCCCTATTCACCCCACCACCCTTATATTTTCTCACCACTTCTTATAATTGTCATATCATTTAGTAGAATAATTACAATTTATTTGTTTAATTTAAAGTAATTTAAATTTCAAACTCAGACAGTGATTCTAATTAATTAAATTAGTAGCCAACACTAGTTAATTTATTCTTTATTATTTTTAATTAATAATTTTGTGAGTTTTCTAAAAAATGAGGAGGGCAGTAAAATTCTACCATTCACAGAAAAAAAAATTATTCCATATTTTTGCTTATCCATTTTATACTATTGCTTTATTTGAATACGTTGAATCCTCTTACTTAATAAAATTAAAAGTTTAAAATAAAGAGTGACATAAGAAATTCATTGTATCAATGAATATTTGTCATAATAAAAGTAGTTATAATAGTTTAAGTAAGAAAATTCAAGTTTGAATCTACATGATATTTTTTGTTCTTATTAATTATGGATAAGTTAAATATTATTTATTACTATGTCAATTTTTTAATTTTTAATTCAACTATATGATTTTGATCCCCTCATTACTCAAGAAGCCCAAAATAGGAGTTTCATTTTTTTTGAAAAATGATGGACGAATAAATTAATTAGTGTTATTTATTAATTGAATTTAATTTAACTAGTTAGAATTGTTTCTTAACTTGTAATTTCAGTTAGGTTGAATTAATTTGAATAAACTTCAATTATTTTATTAAAAAATTTACAGAATGTGGTGAGAGATAGTATATGGGATTTTGTTAAGGACAAATTGGTAATTTTAAATTTATATTTTAGTATTTGGTCCTTTCAAATAAATACAATTTTTAAGATCTTTCCCTATAAATATTATGGCCACTAGGTCTCTCTTCCTAATTTTCCTTTCTTTTTTCTTTGGGGTTTGCTTGAGAATGAAGTATTAGGTGCATTGTCTATTAAGAAAAAAATTACGTATAGATTTAGCCATGCAATCAGCAATAAATTCGGCCACGACCCTGGTAATATATTAGAACTAAATTACTTGATACTCTTCGACAGAAAAAAAAGAATCTTATATTTAGGACAAAAATCAATTTAATAATTATGTCATATATTAAAAATCGAATGAGTATTTGATACTCTTTCGATGGTTGGGCATAAAAAAAGATATAGTGCTAGAAATAGTTGAACACAGGTTTAATGTGGCACGGAATCTAAAACATTAAGACGTGTTAATGGCAAAAGTATGATTTCTTAAAATTTTCAGAGTTTACATTAATTGAACAAATTATATATGCAAATGTTTCTCTCATATATAGTATATCAACTATCATCAACTATATTCTTAAAAACTTATAATACTCAATTTGTTTGAAAATGGGTTAGGTATGATATTATTGGATGTAAATATATTTAATTAATGAGACTTAAATAACATATTAATTGAAATTTGAATATATTGAATTAAATGGAAAACATTATAAATAAATAAAATTTCAATTGGAGACTCGAATAAAAAAATTATTAATTAATTTTGATTTTGAATAATATTTTAATTAGGATTTGAATATATTGTATTAAATGTGGAACATCATAATTAAATAATATGTGAATTGAAGGCTTAAATAGAAAAATAAATAAATAAATTTAAAATTTTATCTGTTCCTCTTAAATTCTGCATCTCTAATTCAAATTTTATTTGAATGGATAAAAAAATCATACTCCTATAAAAAGTAAATTTTGAACTGTAATAGATAATATAATTTATTAGAATTTTAAACTTAATCAAATATGCTAATCTGTACATTGGACGGGGGAGAAATTTCTAGTTGTCCATTAAAAAGGAGTCGTGCACCTGTGCGTATATAATGAGACACAATAAAGATCATGCTTTAAGCAAATGATGATCTACTAGTATTTAATGACAATACTTGGGGAATCCTCCCCACCAACTCTGGGCAACATTGCGACAAATATCAATGATTTACGTGGTGGATAAGCATGGGATTATATATATTATCTGGATGAGTTGGACCCCCCTCCGGCTCATGCATCCCGCCAAACCAATATTCTTCCATTACCATGCCTTCCTTTCTTTGAACTGTTATGCATAGCTGTTTCTCCTATTCCTTCCCTCTCAACGAACCTCTTTATGTTGTACACCTGCACTTTTTCTTTTAACATATTATCGACATCGTTTCACTCTTAACTATTTATCCATCCTTGTCTGGAATGCTTATGTCGCTACGTTCATTCCCAGCCATTCCTGATTTTCGCCATTGCATGCTCTTAGAATCCGTGTTAATCGGTGAAGGAACCTTTTACCTTAATAGGAAATCTCTAAAAAAATTTTGTCAGATAATTTTATCAATGTAGTTAGATTCTTTAATTTCTACCATTTTACGACAGTTAATCCCACAAATGAACAAGTCACAGGCCATCACTACGATTAGAGACAAACCCATTTGATCGTGCTCAGAAGTCATACGCCTTCCACTGTCATAGTCCAAGAAGCAAAGTGACGATAAGAAACTGAATCAAACACATGATAATCAACTTCTAAGGCACAAAGAACCACATTCCAAGTGAATATTGTCTTCATAGCCATTTGGCTAACATCTTCAAATTATTTAATCCGTGGGTAAAAGTTAAACCAGCGTGAAGGAAGATGCAGGAGGTCTATCTGAAGTGTGGAAGGGGAAATGAATATTTTCACGAGGATAGTAAATAGAGTCACATTTCCACAAAAAAAAAACTTGCACTGAATCTGAATTGCTTTTCTAGATACGAGGAAAGATTTGCCCCACCTTGAAACAAGGGGAAAGTGGCATGTCAATGATTCCTAGAAAGAACTTCGGAATCTTTTATTCCTAGCTCATAATGGAGCCAACAGAAAGACCATGCAAAAATTGAACAGGAATCGTTCTCAATGAATTATTCTAAAAGCCTGCAGGAAAACCACCCTTTCTTGGGTCGCTCACTGCCACTAGCTTTCCAATATCGTTACCATTTTTGTACCGCTCAGCATCTTGAACAATAAACTGGCAAATAGTCCCTCCTGCAAGGCCTTGTAGGACATGGCCCTTCTTTTGAAGGGTTGCCCTCATGTGATCAGAAAGTTCTATGTGGTCACCGCTCACCGTAGTCCAGTTCTCATAATTAACCACGTTAGGTATCAACTGATCACATCACGCATAATTAGTTTGTCGAGTAATGACTTGGTTGTAAGAAATAGTGATCATAAAGAACTACAAAATTAGGTACAAATAAGCAATCTGCAAAGGTGAAGGAGGTTTGATACACCATATCATTTGACTATTATTCATTATATGTGGCAACTATAATCAGTTTGGGCAATAGATTAAAAAAAGACGGCTTTGACAGTACCTGGTGATAAACCCTTGGAGACATTACAGAATGAAAAGGATCCATTCCTCTGACAAAATGATTCAAAAGAACTTCTGCAGTTCCAGCAATGATCATAGCTCCTCCACTGGCACCTATCACAGCTTTCAGCTTTCCATCCTGTATGGGCATCAACAGATATAAGCTCGAGTGAAATAATACAAACACCGTCACATACTACCTTAATTTATGTCAATTCTCTCTCGGTGAAGCCAAGTAGATAGTTGTCTTGGACATGAATCATCAGTTTCTTTTACAATATGGAACGTGATATGCATCTCAAATTAAGAAAATTTTTAGCAGAAAGGATACCTTAAGGACTATAGCAGGAGACATGGACGATAAAGGTCGTTTTCGTGGCACGATAAAATTGGCAGGCGCGGGTGGTGGAACACTGTTCGAAACATTTGCAGGCATGGAGAAATCATCCATCTCGTTGTTCAACACTATTCCTGTACTTGGTGAAAGCATTCCTGCTCCAAAATAAGCATTTATGGTGACAGTCATAGAAACAGCATTTCGCTCCTGATCTATGACGCATACATGACTGGTGCCATGATCTCTGACCTGATTCCACCTTTAGGAGGGGGGACCAAAAAAAAAAAAAAAAACACATCATTGTCAAGAAGAAGAAGAAGAAGCATAGTTGAGATTCCCTACTGGTTTGTATCTTTATAGGCCCTCCAAAACACAAATAAAAATATTTACAGTTCTGCATAGTCATGATTGATTGATTTTAAATGGTTTTGCAGCATGTTTGTTAAGCATCTGCCCCAAAAGCCGAGAATAATTAACTCATTTAGACTAGTATGTGCAATAAAAGACACAGTATGTTGAGAATTTTCATGATTAATAAGAGCATCTAAAGCTTTATGGAGAAACATGGACAGTTCAACATCATATCTTGTAGTAAATTATCTCTCGTCAATCTCGCAGCTTACCTTCCACCATAATGACTAGGACCAAAGGTCTTATTGTCATTGATTTCTTTCTTCAACTCCTTGGCAAACTTGGGAGAAAGAATGTCTGAAAGAACTGTCGTTATATTTACAAAATCCGGATCACCAAGATTCATTCTCACAGCAAATACGTGTTTCAGAGCCTCAATTTCTCGATGGATCCCAAGGGGACCTAAAAAACCAGAAGGGACTTCATATTGAGCTAGAATGTTCAGCATCTGTGGCAATACATGAGATATGAGTAAAGCATTGGCAAATTATGAAATCATAATGTTCACTAGCAATGTGATAGAGCTGGAAAGTTTATCAAAACATATGAGAGGGAATCAAGGAAGACCAAGAGGGTAGAATAGCAAAATGCATTTGGCTCTGATGTTCATCCTAGGGAACCTATTGGTAAGGAAAGGTAAAAGTTAGAATAATGACGTTTTGGGGGCTGCCTAGCGGTGTAACATTTGTTGGAAGTCGTGTGTGTTAATTTTTGGGCTTCTGCGTTGGGGGAAGAGCTCATATGATCTGTTTGGAAAAATGAGTGTGGTGAGGAGAGACTGGCCTCTCGAATGTCAGTGGTGTGTATTGGTTCTGCCTCTATTTTGTGCATCTTGTTGAAGTAGGTCACTGTATTGATTGTATTGGGGAATAGGTCTTGCCCAAAATCAGTGAGAATCCTTTCGTGACACTATTCAGTTCGTTTTGACATTTAGTAGTAAAAACCTCAATATTTCCCCTCAGTTACTGTTGTAGCACAATTTTCCTATTCTGCTATTGTTTTTATTTTGACATTTAATAATGAAAACCTCAATATTTCTTCTCTTTTACTGTTGTAGTACAATTTTCCTATTCTGTCTACTGTTTATTTCAGCAAGTTATATCACAATGCAAGAAGATATACATACAAGTATCATCGGGGGGCCACCCGAGGGAGGAGGCATGCCGAGGATCTTTAGTCCAAGAACGTCTGCAGCTAATGGTTCTTTCTGTTTAGCACTGTATGTTTTCAGGTCTCTCATGCTCAAAATACCTCCAGCCTTCTTAACATCTCTGACTAAATTAAGGCCAATTGTTCCATTATAGAAGGCTTGTGGACCAGATTCGGATATTGTTCTTAACGTTTCTGCTAGCTTCTTATTGCGGCATATGTCACCTATCCGCAAGAGTTTTCCTTTTGATGTGAAAATAGCGCGAAGTCCCGGGTCATGTAATATGAATGATTCTGTTCGAACCATTTGCATGTGGAAGTACGGTGATATCTTAAACCCTTGACGAGCCAGAGCCTCTGCTGGCTGCACAAGCCTCTTCCATGGCAGCTTCCCATCTTGTTTCCACGCTTTGTAAAGGCCAGCAAGTTCTCCGGGGACTGCCACAGCGAGCGCACCTCTCTCCTTCAGAGTAGTATTGCCAGCATACATATTCTGCCAAAAAAAAAAAAAGTTACAGAAGGATCAGTCACAGTAGGATAGGATTTCTTTTAAGAATTCCTGGTTCAATTGATTATGCTACAATAAGGATCAATTCAATTTAATGACCTTTTTGACAGGCAGATTTTCCCGATGGAAAGGTGAAACCTTGGAAGCTTATGAACAAGTACGATGGCGTAGTTTGCAGAGTAAAACTTCTTTCTGGGTTTCCAAAGATGACCCGATTGTAAAATTGAAAGTGTGATTTTGTGTTAATTTTGATATTGGGTCATTTCGCAAAGAACGCGATGGGATTTAAAAGCAAACTTGAAGGCAATCAACAGAAGAAAAACAGGGAGAGCTTACCTGAGAAGCAAGGGAAGGAGCAGTTTCTCGCATGTCGAAGGCTTTGGCTTGGCCATTAGCTAACCTGAGAACCAGGAAGGCTCCACCACCGAGGCCACTCGACGCCGGACTCACAACCCCCAAACAAAGAGCGGCAGCGACGGCAGCATCAACGGCATGCCCTCCTTCACGGAGAACGTCCGACCCGATTCGCGAACATCGACGATCATCCGTCGCAACAGCGCCATGCGTCGCATCGATTACTTCCTGTCTCAGTTTTTTGTGCTCATTTGTAGAATTCAGACTCGAAGCAGAAGCCAAATTTGAAATAAGCAGGATTGTTGTGGTAAATGCAGCCCATGGCAACATAACAGCGTATGCAACTAATATATCATAAAGAAATTTAATGCTGATATGTGGACAAGCAAGACTTCCAGAGTCTACTGTTATATTCTCTTTCTTTTTGGAAACTCAACGTCGTACGTATATGAGATAGGTGGTGATTGGAAGCACTCAAAAGAGTTATTTTCAGAAATATTTTTTCATAAAACCAAGTAAATTCTTCCGAATCTTTACTTTGTATAACATAAAAATACTTTTAAAACGATAACATCAAATACTTTCACAGTAAAAATTCAGGTTTCTCAATTTAAAAAAGAATATACATTGCGTAGCTGGGGACATACCTGGGCCCGGCATAGCGTATTGAACTGAACCCAAGGGACGGTTTTCTCCGTTGCGTTTAGCTTTTTCACTGCGTCGGTGGTAGCTCTTCTTCGTCAATGAGTAGGTCGAGAGAGCTTATTCGAGGTCAGAATTTTTAATCTTTTTTTCGCTTCTTTTGACGACAAAACGCATGAGAACCGGAAAATGCGCGAGATAAAAAAGTCGACGAACTCAGCGACTTTCCTAGTGTTTTGCTAAACTCACGTTGTGGTGGAGAACGGCGCATTTTCGTCTTGCCAGTTGGCAGATGCTATGGCGGGGTGCTATAACCAAAAGCCACCTTCGTTTTTTTTTTTTTTTTTGCCAAAATTCCAAGGAGTGTTTTTTGACCGATGGAAATAGTTACGGTCGTTTGTAAACGACAAAAACAACTTCAAAGAGACAACCTGGCAAGGGTGCAAAATAAAAGCCAGCGGTGCAAATGCCTATAAGGCCAAGCTGCTGGCCAAGGTTCCCCCCCCCACCCCGGGGGCTAGAGACGAATAAAGTTTATTAATTAATCACAAAAAGAACAATGCATTACAATCACCAATAACCGGCTTGATGTAAACAATTTGGGTAAAAAAAAAAAAAAGGTAAACAAAAGTTAATATCAAGATCATGGCTCTCCCAGCAGGCTAAGCTGCGCATTGGTAAGGCTTCTCAATGAGTATGAAAGAAAAAGAATAACTTTTTGAATCCACACCATTTAATATGTTTAAGAAAAATAAGAAAATTACATTTTTTTACAATCCAATATTACACGATAATATATTTTTGAAAATATCTTAACATGCTTATTTTATTTTGAACTTTTTATTAAGCCTTTCATGGATTAAAAAAATACATTTAAATTGAAAATGATAAAAATAAAATGAATAAACTTAATGAAGATTCTTTATATTTGTTTACTTTCAAGTTCTCCAATTAAAATCTATAATAATACTTATGATTTTTAGTAATACTACATCAGATTCGGATAGGTAATTTTTTTTTTTTGGTATACGGATAGGTAATTTATATTGTAATGGTTGTTATATTGCATTACCAAATTTACCATGTATTGGTCGAAGAGACTGAAATTAAAAAACGCTGGAATCCACCCCTGTTATCTCCTTATGGTCTCATACAATATGGGCTCATATTCTTATGGGCCACCATACAAACCGAACCATGTAACTGTAACCCGCCATCGTCAACGCTTTCTTCTTGTGGGCTGTGGCCCCAATTATTTTGTAATCTGCAATTCTGCATATCGGCGCCAAGCCGCCAACGTTCGAAAACTTTTTCCTCTTGCCCTTTGCAGCGAAAGAAAAAGTGACGGAGGGAGTTGGCACTCGGTACACTCCAATCTGCAAGCTCCGAAGAACGGCAACCTTCCATCCCGACATTGATAGGCTCCGTGTTTTCACTTTCAGTGTACTAATTCTGCAACACTAATTTCACATTTCATATTACGTCATTTTCATGCTTTGTCTTAAAATTGCTCAACAATCTAGCCTTTCGAATGAGAATAGGCTCTTCTCTGGAAATAGTGAGGGATTTGTTTCTTCTATGAGACTATGGCTAAGCGAAGAGGCAAGAGAACAGTTAAAAGAACTGAACCGGTAACTGAATCCAATGGTGTCGGTACTGAAGATCCAAAGGAGCCTCAAGTTCGAACACAAGGAGCTCTGTTTATCGACATTGAACTCGAAGGTATATTCTTCGCTTTGCTTGCACTGTGTTCCCTTCTCTCCTCTGGGCACTCAATCAGGTGTAAAAGCCCAATTGAGTAGAGAGATACAGACTGTTTGTATTTTCCTAGACTTCTATTCCTATACAAAGGCGAAGCTTTATAGCTATGAATTCCTCCGTTATACTCCACCGAGATGGTGCTGTCTGGATCAGCGGACTCTTACTTCCCTATAGAAGGAGGAAAATAAACCGTTTGTTTGTTATTTTCTCTTCATGAATGAATACATTCTCTTGGTCATTTCTTGGAAATTTTCGCTCTAACTCGTAGTTTTTTTGTAAACCAGTCCAGCGACAAATTGCTGCTGTTAGGACTGTACGTGACGTGGAGATTGAACATTTACTGACTGAATTGCGTTTGCATCGGTCATACTTTAACAAGGAACTGCTCCAGAAACCCGTGCTACAATTCTTTGAAGAAAATTTCCCAGATCTTTCAGTTGTTAATGATGAAGAGAATAAGAAATTTGAGGTTAGATGGAACGATAAATACAGTAGATTGTCCATGAACTGTGCTGATCAAAGAGATGTACACGCTTCTTTTCTGCATAAGTTGTCTGTTGCTCATCCTGAGTGCTCTGCGGTAATTCCTTCTTTGGGTGGCTATGAATATTCTAGCAAAGCAGGTATTTTACTTTATCTTACGCATAAACTGACTTCCTCTTCTTTCTGGCATGGATTATAACTTTCTTCACTTAATTATTTGATTGTTCATAGGAAGAACAAGCCTTCTTGGTGCTCTGCACTTCAACGAATTTGTAAGTTTTTTTTTGCCCTGCTTTATGTTGATGCTGAAAGTAAAAGTTTATCTTTTTTTAAAAATGGGCCATTCATAATTCTTACTATAAGTGTTTACTCTTGTGCATCAGTAGGTTCTGAAGGGAGCAGATCTTAGATCGGCTTTTTATCTTAAAGAGATATATTTGTGTTTTCTGGGGAATTGGATCCCCCGGCCGCATTTGTGATCACTGATCACCCCATGATAAGAACTTTTGGATTAAAATTTGACTGCTTAGATTTTTTTTCAGGTGCTGTTTCAATTTTTTTCCCCTTTAGAGAATCATAAAAAGTACAAAACTGCATCGTGTCATGGCTGGAAAATATCCGAATGTCTCATATTTTATCTAAAAGCTAATGATGAAAAAAATTATTCATCAAGTGAAAAAAAAAAAAAATTGAGACGGGTGGCATACCCATCCTTTAAGATGGGTAGAAAGTCCGGGTCAGTCTTTAGTTATGACTCTAAATGAAATGTTTGTTGTGTCGGTTTCGCAGGAGCCATCTGAAACTCAGACTCTCACAATGCAAGATTTTCCTCATACTCCTGTGGTTTGTATCCTCTTCCCTTTATTATTTTACCGAGAAACCATATTTTCTACAGTATTTCTTTGTCATCAGGCCTCTGTTCAAACTCTTGGGAGTTGTTCATCTTTGTTGATCGTTTCTCAACGGATTTGGATTCTTGCATCATTTCTTGAAACACAGAATGTCCATGTGGTTTAGTTGAACAGATAATTTGCAGTTTTTTTTTTTTTTCAACTAATTGCGGAATGTTCGTGCATCAGGGCTGCAAGTTTTTGTCAACTTATGTTATATTACTTGTCCATTAGTCAGTCCCAAAGATGTTTTGAAAAATCTGTACTGTCAATTACTGTTGAAAATCGGTTACTCACTTACTTGGTGCGCCTTTTCCGTTTTCAGCATACGTTAGATTAAATGGTTTTGAGGGGATTGTTTTAAGGTTTGAGCGAGGAGGGATCATAAAACGCTTAGAATTCATTCTGAATTCTGATATTTTTTTTCCTTTTAAATATTTTGTAGGTGAGCAATCAAAGATTGTCTGTCGGAATGACTCCTAAAACACTTAGGCTGCCCAAACCTGGCGAGATGCTCCTCTCTCTCCATGGGTCACCCCTCGGTGTTTACAAGGAAAACAACATGGAAGCAATACATGGTATGAAAAATGTCCAAGTTATCTCTGTTTCCTGTTGTTTAAAGAATTTCTTTCCATATTGCAAATAGAGGTAGTGGGCTGTCCTTTCTATATTTCTTGAACTATAATGCATATACGTGCCTTCTCCTTCTGGACTCTGCATCTATTTATGCCCTATCAGGGCAGATGAAATACGGTTTACTGTTTTTCCCCTTCTCGTTCCGATGGTTGATACTTTTTTTTTTTGTCAGAACTGATGGGTGATACTTATTGTGATTTGCAGAGTCACAGGAAGGTTGACAGCCTGCTAAAGTTAAACGGAGAAAATCATAGTGATGGATATTTCGTGTGCTCTGCCCAAATACCATTTACTTTGAGGATTACTTTTTGTTAGGTTTTGGGGATTGGGGGGATTGAGCTTCAGAGGTTGTTTCTCAACAGACAAGAGGACCCAATGCGAAAAATCATTTGGCCTTCTAGCTCACTCAGATATTGAAATAGGTTGCAGCCGGAAGAGACAGTCCTAACTCCTACCTGGCTGAGAAGTTGTCTGACTAATGCGGTGTTCTCTTTGATGTGTGTATGGCCAGATCGCGTTCAGAATTCTGAGAACCTGAATGCAGTTCCTTGCATATCCTTTTGTGAATGAGGGCAACCAGAGTTCAGCATTGGAGCTTTGCCCCGACTCTTATCCTTGCATTTCTCTAGTCCAAATACCAGTTTATAAGTTCAGGATAATTTAATACACAACATCTGCGTTGAATACTCTATTATTATAAGTTGTGTAATATATATGAATTTTTAAATATATAACTAAATAGCGATTTGTTGTTATGGATAAATTTGCACCTGTGCCCAAAAAAAAAGGGAGATAAATTTGCGCCAATTTATATCGTAAAATTTCGTTATAAATTTTGTTAATGGACCTGTGAGTTTAATTGAACGGCGGAACCTATAAATTCAACAGCCTCAATTCAAAAAAAAATAATATAGGCACGGAGGAACTTAGCATATCAAAAGTGTCCCAACAAATCCTCTCCTTGTATATGTTGCCAATTAATTAGGGATTCGCGCGATAGACTCTGACTTTTACGTAGAATAGAAATCTATGTGGATGCTTTGTTTGTATAAACGAGAGAGGTTGGGGGGTAATTTGGGTTTTGACTATACATGTGAAAATGGAGATTTTAGTTTGATATGTGTGCATCTTAACTCGTAGGGGTTTCAGGTAAAAAAAAAACTCGTAGAGGTTAATTTGCATAGAAGCCAAGCAATCAGAAAGGCACATTTATTGAAAATATTGATAATTGATAATAAATAGAATTATTGAGCAACTGACCATAAAGGTATTAAACTCGGCATACACGAGACTGATCATTAAACTCATATAGAATGAATAATTTCCACGTCAATGACGGAGACGTACAAAAAGTAGATACTCAATGCCGATGGGGAGAGACAGGCACATGACCTGGTTTCTATAGAGAGTCGATTCGAGGGACGGCAAGCAAACAACAAAACTGAGCATCTTCTGCCGGCGCAATCATTTAATTTAACTAAATATAGTTTGGGTGGCCAGTCCATGACCCTCAGGTCATGTTTTCAGTTCATGAATTTTTATTTGAAATAAGCAAATGTGTAAATCTGGTGAGACCTGCCGAATGAAAAGTGGATTTTATTGCATAATATTTACCAAGTCCACTCTTGCTTCTCGGTACATATAAGAAGCTCCCTTTGCTTCAAGGAGACGCACAGATCTTTATTAAGCTAGCTAGCTAACAGCAAAATTATCATATCGAACCATGACTACTTGGCTTGCCATTTTTCTAGTTTCTCTTGCTTATTATCTCCTGAATGCATGGAGAAACAAGAAGGCGAAGAAACTACCTCCTGGTCCTAGAGGGCTGCCGATCTTAGGAAACCTTCACATGTTTGGGTCTCATCCTCACAGAGATCTGCACAAGCTGTCACAAAAACATGGACCTATCATGGGCCTACGATTAGGATTCGTGCCGGCCATCGTTGTGTCTTCGCCTCAAGCTGCTCAACTCTTCCTCAAAACACACGACCTCGTATTTGCCAGCAGACCACCTCACGAGGCTGCCAAGCACATCGCTTGGGATCAAAGGAACTTAACCTTCGGCGAATATGGTTCCTATTGGCGCGACATGCGTAAAATGTGCACCTTGGAATTACTCAGCAGCTCCAAAATCAATGCTTTCCGACCTATGAGAAAAGAGGAGCTCGACCTTTTAATCGAGTCTCTCAAAGAAGCAACACGCAATGAAGCTTCTGTGGATCTTAGTGCCAAGGTTGCTGCACTGAGTGCCAACATGAGTTGCAGAATGATCCTAGGAAAGAAATACATGGACGATGAGTTTGATGAGAAGGGGTTCAAGGCTGTGATGCAAGAGGGAATGCACTTAGCCGCAACGCCTAACATAGGCGATTACATTCCTTTCATCGGTGCCCTCGATCTTCAGGGCCTTACTCGTCGCATGAAGGTTGTAGCCAAAACATTTGATGACTTCTTTGAGAAAATCATAGACGAGCATATTCATCAGTCCAACAGTGAGGACAAGAAAACCAAGGATTTCGTGGATGTCATGTTGGGCTTCGTGGGGACAGAAGAATCAGAATACCGCATCGAACGCTCCAATATCAAAGCCATAATGTTGGTACGTACGTATACGTATAACACAGATAGAACACTCATTCTTCTTCCACACAACTCAAACTTTGACTAATAAATGATGATGTTATCATATAGGATATGCTGGGGGGATCAATGGACACGTCAGCGACAGCCATAGAATGGACACTGTCAGAGCTCTTGAAGAACCCAGGGGTGATGAAGAAGGTTCAGAAAGAGCTGGAAATCGTGGTGGGAATGGAGAGGGAGGTGGAGGAATCAGACTTGGAAAAACTGGAATACCTAAACATGGTTATAAAGGAAAGCTTGAGGCTTCATCCAGTGGCACCCTTGCTGGTTCCACACCAGTCAACTGAAGACTGCACCGTGGGAGAATATTTTATCCCAGGAAAATCAAGAGTGATAATAAACGCGTGGGCAATCATGCGAGACCCCAGCGCTTGGAGCGAGGCTGAAAGGTTTTGGCCAGAGAGATTCCAGGGGAGAAGCATAGATGTGAGGGGGCAGGACTTCGAGCTGATTCCATTCGGGGCGGGTCGGAGGGGTTGCCCCGGTTTGCAACTGGGTCTAACAGTGATACGCTTAGTGGTGGCTCAGCTTGTACACTGCTTTGACTGGGAGCTTCCACGTGGCATGTCGCCTTCAGATTTGGACATGACTGAAGAGTTTGGCCTCACTATGCCCAGAGCCAACAATCTAGTTGCCGTTCCCAAGAAAGATCGACTCCAACGTTGAATTAAAATGGATCACCTGGTGAATGTCTCCCTCTCCCTCTCCCTCTCTCTCTCTCTATATATATGTATGCACTTACATTTTCAATGACCAATCCAGGAAATTCCAATGTTGTCATTCATGTATATGCACTTAGCTCGTACTGTTTAATGTGATCTGGTAAGCATGTTTTATGTACGTATTGGATCAATATTCAATAGACTTCATGACTTTGTGCTCTTTGTTAAGTCTATAAATATCCTATTTAGTGATTTGGTGCAAGTCAAATATCCTTCTTCCTCTCCGTATCGCGCTTCATCGTAATAATGACTTGGTTATCAGAATATCGGCTCTCAAAACAAATATACAATAGTTTGTGGAAGTTGCGCAAAAAAATGGGAAAAATTATCCATAAATCTCAGATAAGAATAATTATAATATGAAGAAATTCTAAGAAATTCAATTTTTTTAGAAAGTTTTACAAGTTTAACTTGTAAATGACATAATTCCATTTATAAATATGGAAGTTCCACTTCTAAACATAAATTATTACGTATAAATTTTTTGAGACCTCTCTTTAATTTCTAATTTTCTTACCAGGGATACATAATTAATTTTTCGAAAAAAGTATATATTGATGCGGGGTTACAAATAATAACACGAAATTTCATTGAACCATGGAATATGTAATCATTCACTTTGCAACATTCCAATTTCCATGTCTTGATAACAACAACGACGTTATGAAAAATAGTTTTCATGCCTTCGTTTCAAATTATTAATACATAAACTAGCCAGCCAGCTAGTCCAAGGATGAAAGGAGTGATCCCAACCGAGTTGCAGTAACCTAGTCTTGAAGAGGATGATTAGGCAACCCAAGAACTGCCAATCCAATAATCCTAAGAATTCTTAGAAGCCATCCTTCTCTGTAAATCGGCTCCATACTTGAAACCAATAAAGAAGCTCCTTATAATCTCCCGTGCCGCATTTATCCTCATTGTCCTCATCGCCCACAGCGAGAAGTAGTTCTTATCCGGCTCCTCGTCCACCATCTGTCTCCAACTCAAACAAAAGGGAAAGAAAATCAATCAATCAATTACTGATCCTTTAATAGTTTCTGGTGATGATCGCATTCAATCTTTGACTCGAATCGATGAATGACCAAATTTAATACACGCACTTACGTTGCATTCATAGTTGCTAACAAAGTACAGGCACCGCCCAAAGTTCTTCAACATCAAATTGTTGTAATCGTAATGTAACCTAGAAACAACGTCGTTACTGTATAAACAAATCGATAGTACTTAATATGGTGGTGTTTGAGTTCGTCTTCCATGTATTCAGCGAATTCGTGATCACCGACTCGAGGTTGTTCAAACGTGTATACTCCTTCAAGTCTATCCAGCAACAAGGTTTCATCATGCAGCGACTTTATTGCAGGAAACAGAATAGCAAGAGCTCCGCCCAAACTATGGCCCGTCACAATGAACCTGGCTTCATCATTTGCATTCACGTGCTGCTTCAGAACATCCCTAATGGCGTAGTAGGCTTGTGGAGGGTTGTTATCGTCTCTTTGAATTTGCCTAGGCCAACCCACGACGCTTTTCTGAAGGCCTAGGGCTTTCATAAAGCCTGCGTGGATCTTTCCAACACCAGGAAGGTGGCACCATGATAAGTCAATATCAGTGTTTCATGTTATGAGTTCCATGTTGGGAAATCTCACAAGTATTGTGGGATTGATATGTTCAAGGAGCTCTCCCTTCTAATTGTTTAGTCTTTTAGGATTGAGTTCTTCTTTTAGGCTTATACTTATCATATTGGTGTTTTTGTTAAGAGTCGGTTAACCAGGAAAGGCTACCTGCAAAGGTTCTTGACCGGTAAGAAGACTAAGTGAAGTGCCGTAGAGCGTAGAGCAGAGTCACCGAGGACATCCTCTCTCTCGAGGGGATGAATCTCACAAGTATTATAAAGTTTATAAGTTCAAGAAACTCTCTCTTTAATAGGATTGGACTCTTCCTTTGGGTTTACGCTTATCACATTGCATGTGTCGACATGGAAGGGTTTGGTTCCTCTTAAGGCCACTTCATATGTCTGCTGCTCTAACATGATAAAACTCTGAGTCTTGGCTTGATGATCTGTTGATTATATATTAAGATCAGCACAAGTTATTAATGGAAATCGATTAAGATCGAGTTATGCGAAGAGATAGGCTAATGTGTGATTCAATATCTATTTAGCTCTTACGTACCATTCCAGAAGTGGCCGCATTTTACGACTTCCATCTAACGCATGCAAAAAATTTCCAAACCGAGATTAACTATACGTTAAATTAAAACTAGTAAAATAAGGAAAAGCAGAAGGAAGTGGAAGCAGAATTCCTTGACAAGTAACCTTCCGGTGATTTTTGACGAATAGTTTGAAGGTAAACGCTCTCTCTATATTCTTAACCCTCTCTCTATATAAACATCATATATATGTTGACGTATATTATGTTATTGGATGAGTAGTCTGCCTATACCAAGTTTTCTTTGACTAAGAGGATATTTTAGAAAGTAGCTATAGTTTCTTATTTTTGAAAACTTTCCTTAAATACTGTATCTTCTTGTTTTCGAAGATTTTCCTATTTTGTACTTCTTTTCTTTTCTTTTTTTTTGGGGGTAAAAAAATACGTTTTTTATTTGTGAATATTAATTAAGATTATGAGAATCTAGCCCCATCAGAAAGATTTGCGATGCAACATCAGAAACGTCTGCTTGGTTGTTTGTGGAGAATTTTCTTGTTGCAAAACTCATTGGCCCAACATTTACTCATTTAAATATGGGGTTTGTCTGCTAGGGGTGTGCTTATTTGATCGGGTGTCCATACTCCCATCTTTGCCTAAATTTTTCCAAATGATTGACTTGAAGTTATGTGGATTATGTTGGGTGTCGATACTATCTCTTCCGCTGGCAAATGCAAAAAAAAAACAAAACAAAAAAAAAAAGAAAAAAAAAAGGAAAAAAAAAAGGGAAGAAGAAGAAGAAGGAAGGAAGGAAGGAAGGAAGGAAGGAAGAAGAGTGTTGAGGTAAGCTTGGAATTTGGAAAACCTTAATATTTGAGGTAAGTTAGGAAACCCAGTCGAGTCGTTGGAGTGATGAATTAAAATTTTGAAGCCTAACATGCTCTTAACTCTTGATATATTAACAGGAATAAACAAGCACAATGCCCAATGACTTTTTCTTCATGTCTTCGCGTGGAACAAACCAGCGGATCAGCATCCCAAGTGCAAGTTGCATTCAGAAAATAAAATATGTCAATTTTTTTAAAAAAAAATTATAGTTGCGTTCATATGATCTCTGATTTATTCATTGAAATCGCCTCTGGAAGCCCATTCATTGAATCAAAAAACTTTTTTTGCTAGGCATAGAAGTAATCCTATTTGAGACATTGTCAGACACTAAATATGAATACTTTTCCTAATAAGTATTCGAACTATGGTTCGCTCAATCCCTTAGCATTGAAAAATATCAGTCCAGCAATTTTTTTAAGTTGTAAACAAGTCCACATCTTAAATTATATCTCAAAAGAATGTTTTTTTTGGGCCAGCATATTCAAAATTTGACGTAATCTAAAAAAGTTGTGAGAGGCCTAAAATTTTTGTGACCCAAGGAAAGAACTTGTTATCAATGATGATCGGACGGGAACGGCTCCGTTCTGTGAGGCGTAACTAAAAACTTTAAAGGTCCACTCAGAATTGTTCAATGAGGGAGAAAGTGAGGGGGCTAACTCCTGTAGAATCTTTCTTTTCCTGAAAACTTTGGAGCTAGTTATATGTTCACATGGGACCCATAAAATTAGTTCCAACCCCCGGTGAGCGGAAGAGGCATTGCAGAAGCGGCTAAGAAAAATCTTTCAATGCTAGAGCATGAAAATGATATCGGATAACTAAATCGAGACGAGTATAAAAATTCTGCGAGAACCCAAAAACAAAAAAAAATCTAGATATTATTTTAATAAGTACTTGCATTGAATCGTTAATGTGAGGTGAAAAAGACTAGAAGAGTAAGCACTTTTTTCCGTTCGAAAGTCGTATAGTGCCCGAGTTAATTCAAATTGAGTTTAGTGGGGCCGTATCGACATCAAGTTCTCTCAATGACAATTTTCTTCATATATAATGCTTAAAACTTCATTTAGAAATCAAGGGGTGAATCACTTGAACAAAAGTTTGACCCAAAAAAGGAAAAAAGAACCACTTGAATAAAAGAATTAACAAAAACAAACTGAATACATTTGATTTAGGAAGAGGGAGTTATCCAGAAACAACAAAGTCCAGGGGAGGGGAGGGGGGGGGGGGATTATAATAGTGTCTCAAGGATCATGTTTTCAAATCAAACTCAAAGCACTGTCAATTAATCAATTGATCGAAAGTCACTTTACAAGGAGATTGTAACAGCAGGAGAAGAAAGGAAAAGAATGTGACGATTATCCAAAATCAGATGGCTATAAACCAATTAAGGATGAGACGGACGAAATCAGAAAACAACAATGGGTCGAGGAACCAGATAAAAATACTAATTCCCAGATGCATTTACACAAAAAAAATTTCAAGCCGACATAGAACAAAGGTCGTCAAAAACTTGTCTGATATTAGGCCTCTCATTTACAGGGAGAATACACCTGAGTGATATTGCAAGCAATTCGTCCATCTCTCTGGAAGATTCTTCACCGCCTGCGATGTCTCTGTCAATACAGTCCATTACACGTCCTTCTTGCTCACAGAGCCTGACCCAATCTGTTAGATCAACAGCCCCGGATTGCCCTGATATTATGTCGCCTGCACTTTTTCTCGTTAATAATTCCATTAAGATCACACCAAGTGCATACACATCGGCCTTGAATGATGGGACTGGTTTATTAGCAGAGGCCAGTTCTGGAGCACGGTATCCAAGTGCTCCGAGATTTAGTATCTGCTCTGAAATTCCGGCAGGTGTCATAAGGCGGTGCAGACCATAGTCAGTTAGACGTGCACTGTATTCAGGGCCTGCTAATAATATATTTGTTGGTTTTAAATTTCCATGGGGAAGCCCTCGATCATGAAGGTATAAAAGACATCGGGCAACTTCAACGGCAACTCTTAATCTCTGGCCGAATGACAATGGCGAGTACCGCCGGGGTGTTGTCTCTGCAAAATTCACATTCATATGCACACAAATATTTAAACTACAAAGGGGGGGAAAAAAAAAAGGCACATACGTCCAAACTTTTAGGGATTTATTATCTATAATATAGAAAGAATTACGATAGTAACTTTGGCTTCAGCATTTCTTGGATATTCCCCTATGGAAGAGAAGGAGGATTGGAAAAAATAGGAGAAATGTGGCTTCACAAAAGGGAATTTGTAAATCGCAGAGTGATAACAGGTTAGATTTTTCAAAACATGAATCTAATCACACACAGAATGATCTAATCTTCTGCAAAGATATTACCAGGGATATTTTCATTACGGTGATCAAGAATTCATTGGCTTGTCATATGCGACATTCTATAGGATTGACCTCATCATATCAATAAACAAGATCAAATATATAAAATATCGCACCATAAGTCATTAATTGTGCAGCTTATCTCAAACTCTATATGAACACGGGACCCAAAGTCTAATTGTTTTGTAACTAGGTATGCTTATACACAATTACAATGAAATGAAGCACTCTCTTTCAAACATTTTCTTCAACTTTCGAACATGTTAGTATTACACTCTCATTTTTCTTCTCTGTTGAATATTTAGAGATTGTTGAGGACACTAGAAGTGAGCAAATATGAATATAAGAATATAGCAGAGTGTACACAGTTATATATGGCAGTGCAGACATTTCAATGAACACAGCATTGAGGGGGAGTTTAACAATTACCATAAAGATGTAAGGCCAAGCTGTCGCCAGGTATATAGTCAGCTAAAAGAAGCCTCTCTTGTTCCCGGGGCCCCCAATAGTATGCCCGCAATGGGACAATGTTAGGATGCCTCATAGAACCAATCCTTTTAACTTCTCTGGCAAATTCCTTCTTATGTTTGACCAATCCAACACGTAACCACTTTACAGTCAACATATGACCAGTGTCTAGTGTAGCTTTGTATAAAGTACCATGGCTACTTCGGCCAAGAACTTCAGCTGGAGCTCGAGATAACTCCTCTGCAGTGAATGCCAGGGAAGAATCAAGAAAGTACAACTCTCCAGCCAGGCGATCTGGTGAATACACATCCAACATAACTGGTTTTTCTTGTGTTTCTATAAAACGAGGGGAAGAAGATAATGGGGAACCAGGAGATGACTTCCTTCCAGATGATGTGGGAGGATTATCCATCAAATTTGGATTTACAGAAGCTAAACTAGCTGCTCCCGTTCCCTGAGCTAAGCCATGCTCAGTAATTTCACTTACAAACTCCGACTGTCCAGAGAGTGATCTTGAATTGGATGTCAGCAAGTGATCATTTGAAAAGCTCAATGAACTTGCTGGTGGCTGAGCATTTGGGTGGAGCTTGAAGAGGGAGGGCCGTGCAAATCCTCCTGATTTGATATCCCTTCCAGTATTTTGACCAGTGAACCCACTTCGGCCACGAAATTCTTTAAGTTGTGTTCTATGATAAGCCAAGAAAACAAAAATAATCATCACAGCAGCACCAACTGAAGCAAGAATAATGGCTATCTTGATATTTCCCTTTGAACTGTGACGTTTCCCATGACCATAAATATTATCAGGCACTGAAGCACCATTTATATACGTTGGTAAGTTCAGCTTTTGATTTCCCGGGTGAAACGATGAAGGAGGAAACCTCCTCAAATTAACTGGAACGTCACCAGATAAATCATTATTGGACACATTAAACACATTCAAGTTGGATGAAAGCTTATCAGGAATTTGTCCCTTAAATCTATTGTGAGACAAATCAAGGTGCTCCAAATTAACAAGTTTGCTCAATTCATTGGGCAGCTGTCCTGAAAAATCATTCCTGGCAAGATTCAACAGTTTGAGCCCACCCATCCTACTTATGTCAGAAGGTAAGATGCCTTTTAACGAGTTATTAGATAAATCAAGATATTCCATCGGCTGATAAGGTGTCATAATTATTAATTCACTGGCTCCTGATCTTTCAAGAGGAATTGACCCGGTAAAATGATTTCCAGAAAGATTCAGGCTTATCAATGTTGTTGAAGTAAATAAACTAACAGGAATATGGCCACTAAGTTCATTCAAACTGAAATCAACCATGGACAATTTAGAATAAGTCCCTAAATTAGGAGGCAAAGCTCCAACTAAGGAATTATTCCTGAGAGCAAGTGTGGTTAATCCCTCAAACTGATTTGTCAAATTTGGAAAGCTTCCTGACAGCCTGTTTGAACTCAGGTCAAGAACCTCAAATGTGGCTTCCCAGTTCTGCATAACAGATACATCACCATGTAACAAATTCCTGCTCATGTCCATTACAGTGCATTTTCTCAAAGATGCTGGCAAAGAGCCTGATAAACCATTTGATGAAAGATTCAAAATATTCAATGATGTCGAGTTGATTGAAGGAATTGAACCTGCACATGTTAAACATAATATATAAAACATTTGTAACAGAGCATTGACGTACACTTCATCAAAAGACTTCATGCAGACGAGCATGCGCATTTGCAGCTTTTAAAATTCTTTTCTTAATGTCTAAACTCTCGAGTAGTAAAAGGCTGGGACGGAAGTAAATGACGCTAGTATGATCTAGTTTAAGATGCTTTTCGTGAAATGAAATTAGCTTGATGGAACTCATGGAAGAGACGGAACTATATTATTCCAACTCTGCCTCGCTCAGAACAAACTAAGAAGAATAGTTAAGATCCACGCTAAGGCGACAATACATACTACGGAGAACCAGATAATACCAAAAAGAATTAAAAGCTGGCCTGTATGCTGAATTGCTTCCAAAGCCCATTGTAATATTTTTGCAAACAGGATGACAGGAAGAACAAAGAAATGAGTGAATCAGATGCCAAAAAAGAAATTGAAATTACTTACCCGTAAACCCGTTGCCGCTAAGATCCAATTCTTCTAATGACATGGAAGTTTCTAACAACTCCTCCGGTATTGACCCATATAACAGATTACTGTCAAGTCGCAAAACTCGAAGACTCGGCAATGACCCAAAGGAGGGAAGCTCTCCCCTGATCTGATTGTGACCCAAATCCAAAACTTGCAAATTACGGAACAATGCAATTGAACCACCCCCAAAGAAAGGGCCATTTAACTCGTTGTAACTCAAATTTAGAAAATGGACCGTATTCGCCAAGCCAGAAACATTCTCCGCTCCAAGTGACAGGCCCCCGTAGAACTTATTAGAGCTCAAATCAAGATGCTCCACATTTCGCAATGCGGACAATACGTCACCAATATCACCCCAAAGCTGATTCGAACGCAAATCCAGCACTCTCAGCTGCTGAAGATTATATATTCCCGGAAATCCACCCTTGAAGTTATTCTTAGACAAATTGAGGTAATTTAATGCCCAAAGATCATTAATTCGAGCTGGGATCGGCCCGTAGAACTTGTTGTCGGAAAGATCCAAATGCTGCAAAGTGGTCAGCGTCCCCAATGCCGGCGGCAGCCGCCCAGTAAAGTCATTTCCGGAGAGGCTGAGATTCCGTAGCATCTTGAGTTCCAGTAGAGTGTGCAATTTCAGCTCACCTCCCAAACTGAGCCTATCAAGGACTACGGCGGTGACGTTGCCGGTTCCCTCTTCGCAGGCCACTCCGGCCCAGGAATGAGGACAGTCGTTGAGGTCGCCGAGCGAAGACAGCTTCCATGAATCGAAAACTCTTCCAATCGGATCTCTTTCAATCCCTTTCTTGAATTCAAGTAAAGATCGTAGTTCAGCTTCCGAGGCGAAACCCGAGAAGAGCAGAGAAAGGAAACAAAGGGAGAAGACCGCAACAAAGAAGTTGGGTACGGAATTCATCGGAGTTAATGTGGAAAGCCACCTTAATGATTCATTGAGGGGAAGAGGGGGAGAGAGAAAGAGAGAAGGGGGTTTTCGAAACCCTAGAAGCTCAACATTGGAAGAGAGCTAGAGAGAGAGAACGAAGGTGAAGAGAGAGAAAGTGCAGGTAAAGCTGAGCTAGGGTTTTATATATGAAAGAGAGAGAGAAATCCGTTAAAAATGGCGGTTTGGTCAGGTGGGAGAGTGTTGGTTGGTGGGAGTGAGTAACTACAGTCTGTAAAGGACAAGTTCCTCGTCCTCTCCTTCTCTCCATTCATTCAGTCACAAACTCCCTACTCTGTTCGACTCTCTGTCTTCGTATTTGTATGAGAGAGAGAGAGAGCGACATTGCAAACTGTAGTTTAAACCTCTCTCTCTCTCTACACAGCCCTGCACGCACATGCGCTTAACGTCTCCCCACGCCGTCAACTTCACTGTACCAATAACCTCTTCCTGTTTTTCTTCCAAAACGGGAAATTTCAGTTTTCCAATTACGCAGCCAATTAAGGATAAGAAAATACAGCTAAAAAAGCTCGAAACTTTATTTTTTAAAAAAAAAAAAGTGGGAGTCTGAATGTGGGTTGGCGAGGAGGGAAGTGACGGGAGAGAAAATAACGAAGGGAACGGCGTGAAGGCAGAAGAGATGGGGTGTCTGGAATGGACAGCCAGCCAAGATGCCGAACCAGAGAAGAGCATGTTTGGAAGCGTACAAATGACATACCATCATTTACCGATTCTGTCACCTTTTTTGACTCTCCCCATTACTTCCTTCTCTTTCATTTTCCATAAATTCAATAAATATAAAAACTCGCGCCACTGCCTGTAAATGTGGCGTTTGGCTATTTGCTCTTTAACGGACCCGCGGGACTCTTTTCCCTCCTGAAATTTTTTACAGTTATAATTCTAACCATTCATTTTTAGGGTTTATATAATTAATTATTATATATCTTGCAGCTGTATTGTTTTTTTTAACAGCTGTATTGGAATTTTATATGTTATTAAATTGTTGCAGTATCTTATACACTATTACCTCTCATATTTTTAATATAAGATTTTGTTTGATTTTTATTTTAATTCTAAATGTAAGATCTTAATCAATTTTGTTTTTTATATATATACATTTTTTTCTAAAATAGTTCTTCTAACAATAGTAATTCTAGCCAATACACTTAATTAGTAAAAATATTTTTAAAAAAACACATATTTATTACAAATAACTAACTTAACTTTTTTTAATCTCCTCAAATTAATTAATTAGATCTGATAATTACAATCGGAACTGGTATTTTTTAATTATTACTTGTGCATAAATTCTGAATGATTCTTTACACACACATATATGTATAAGAAAATTCTGAATGATTCTATGCACAAGGACTGAGCTTCTCCAAACTCAACATCTTCATAGCGTTCCTTAATCTAATAAATTTAATAGCTGCTATTCTCACCCCAAAAAAATTAATAGCTGCTAAATTAGCGAACAAGATAGGATGCCCATGCTACCATACCTTTTTGTCTTTTTTTTTTTTTTTTGTGTGGCGTGGGAAACAATATTAGTATATTTAATGTGGCCTCATATATTGTTGACACAATTTTTTTTTTTGGCCAGCGTTGATACAATATTTAAAACAAGTCATATCATCCATGATTTATGAATTGCATGATATTGCATTTTGTATATTTTACATTGAAGTTGCTCAAGTAAAATCTCACACCATGTTTATTTATCACTTTACAGACAACATCATTTCACGAGATTAAAACATGTATTAATAATGTTACAGCATTATTTAAAAATACGGGTGAATGAAGGTCCTCAATATTCTATGGGTACCAGAATGGAAATAATTGATTATACATACCTGCACCGATATATATATATATATATATAATCATTGTTCAATAATTGTGAGATCTATTTCCCATAGTTACCATGCCAATTCCGTGAGGCTATAGCGCACCCTTTTCAAAATGTAAATTTCCAAAAAAGAAAAAATCGGAATAATTATTCATTCATTATCAACTTAAATTTAAATATATATTACATCCAGTTTTTTCATGCATTACACCACTGAATGATAAAGCCTATTAATTATAAATTTTATATTTTAGATTGATTGATGCTGATTTTAGATTTATTTTTTTAAATTAGAAACTGATATCATTCAAACGCACAAGAAAAAAAAACACTTAATTATGTTACAAATTGGAAGGATAACGTTTTGGCTGTTCAACGCTGCAATTAGTATTAAAATTATAAAGCACAAAATTTGTCAAAAACTGGGATTTGCTTTTACAATAAGTGCTGGCACCGGGGAATACGGTTCCAAGTGGTGCTTATCAGCAACAAACGTTGACATTCACATCATATCCTGATATTGCATACTTTTGTGTTTTATAAAATTTAAAAAGCAGAAGTACAAGATACTGTATTTATTTTTGTGCTTTATCAATATATAATTGAATTCATTTGTTAATCATTATTCTTCTGGTTATAATGAAGAAAAAGGAGTTGGCGAAGGTACTTACGACAACAATTATTCTGTAACAGGATCATAATTAAAACGTAAAACTAGAGTAATTTACATTTAAAAGTTGGGCCGTGGTTACTGATTAACTGTCGATACAATAATTGACATCAAAATCAAAGTGCGTGTTTGGTCTAACCACTCTGAGCTTGACTTGGGCTATATTCAACTTACGTAAAAATATAATTGAATACCTACAAAAAGAATAAGAATCCCTAAGAAAAAGATTGAGCGATGCGTTACATATTTTTATTTACAGGAAAATCAAACACACAACGTAACCCTCTTCTTTAAGTTATACCTATTGGACCACCTAAATTATTCAATCAAATAAGTAAATTTCCAACATTTGATTAGCACAATAAGCCAGATACATTGTAGCTGGATTATAAATTGATAAATTGACACAATCTTATATAAAAAGGTATATAAAAAAACATTTTTTATACAATCCCAACTTGATTAAAGCCTGCGAAGACATCTTAACAAAAACAAAAAGATTCATAATTCTAACCGATGGATAAGAAAATTTGATATTTGCCGTTCGTAATAAGGCATTTGGAAACTGCAGAGACTGTTCCAGTTTTAATTTTAAAGAAAGAAACAAACAAGTGGGTATCAAACAAAGCAGTGGACAACTCTCTGGGCAAGCGATCTCTCACAGCTTCTTGTGTCCTTTTATTAACTATAATTTACTGAGAAAACACCAAGAGAAGCCAACCTAGCTCTTGATGTCCGAGCTTTATGCTCAGGAATCCGAAGACAGGTCAAAGAAGAAGCTGAAACTCTCAATTGAATAATAGATTATTGCACTATACAATATCATCTTCTCGTCGGTGCTGCTCTGTAAAGTTTTCGGACCACCTTCGTTATATAAGAGACACTATACTTAAATCACACACATCCAATTGCAGGACTCTAGGTTCAAACTAGATACCTATAAGCTACAATGACACTCTCGAAACCAGCTTTGTTTCTGATTCTGCTAATGTTCCTCTTCAATGTCATATTGGTTGTTCAAGGCGAAGCAGTTAACAGTGAACTAGTTGTGGGTTCTGCCAGTTCTTCCTCGGTTGTGAGTTCTGAATCTCTTTCCCTCTCTGATTATTGATATTTGATGCACTGTTTTGGGTTTTTTTTTTTTTTGCCCGGGTGTTTACTTAAACTAATTCAAAGTCTTTGGAGTGATTAATTGTTATAATATAATTATGTTCTGCAGAGAAGAGGTGGGTGTGGAAAAGAGGGCGTTGAGTGCAAGAAAGGAAATGGTGGGTTGGAAGAAAACGTTCTGGAGAATGAAGATTACATCTACACCAACTCTTTACCTTAGATACAATGATACAAAATTTCTGTGTGGTTTTGTTTTTTAATTATGCCGCGCTTGTTAAGAATTACCCACATTCGTAATTTTAAAGGATCTTTTATTACACATTGTTTTTACTGATAATTTTTCGGGTTTAGATTCTACGCACCTGTTGGAGAAACCTAACACTCTAATCCACTCATTACAGCGGTTAATATGGGAAATCATTGTAAATTTACAATTAATAGTTTATGCCTTTGTTTCTTCTCATCACAAATCCACAAACGTAGATAATGAATGAACCGAAAAGACAAAAATAGTTTCTAACCAAGCATCCGGACTTATTTGATAATCATGGAATTTTCCTTTATTTTTTCATCAGAAAATTCTGAAATCTATACACAGGCCAGTTTATTGAATGATCCTGCGAATGAGAATTTGTGTCGAACATCCTATTTCAGTTGTGAGAAGAGTACAAAACCTCACCAAAAATTGGATGACACACTAATTTTAACATCTGGGGTAAAATACATTTTACCTGTTTCTTTCCCCTCTTTCCTACATGCAATCTGATCGTCTTGAATGTTACATAGATTGCGCTTTGACTTTTTTAAATCAGATATGAATCTAATGTTGTGTGGTTGACATTTTTAATGAAGGGGCCCGTGAAAGGGGACTTGTATTAATCAGTAGCCCAACATACTCCTTAGAATCGAGATTTTTCTTCTTACCCGATCTTAGAGTTTGAGATCTACTTGATTCATCGTACGATATTTCTGTTCTCTCATTTAGGTTCAGTTAACCTGAGCAAAGAAGAGAAAGAAGAAAATTAAAGGAGTAAAGAAGAGAAAAAAAATTTTTTTTCCTTTATTTGGATATGAAGAGAAAATTGATCTCTATTTTTTTTTCCTGCACATTTTATAACCCTAGTTCCATTATATCACCATTTATAAACCAAGTTTCAAAGTCAAATAAGTTGATTGCGACCATAAAGAATCAAATATCTGGTTCACACGAAAACCCAGGGTTGCTACGTCTGCTTGGCTAACAACAGAACATGCCCATGTTGGATTTCTGCATAAACTACCAGCCATCCAGGCGTTAGTGAGCTACTTCTTTCCTTGGGATGCTCTTGTCCTTATTCCTGCTGTGCTAGTGCTACGTCCTCCTGTGTCATGATGCATACACCTAAATATTGACATTTTAGGGAACGGTGACATTAAAGACACGAGACTGAACAAAAGGAAATCATTTCTTCCATGGACGCAAACCAGAGAAAACAGCAACAGCAAACAACGGAATTTAAGACGGAGATCTTGTCAGATATGAAATGGACAAAGCGAATTAAATTAGGTCCTGTGCGCACAATGATGAAGGTGGTGTGAAGCGTTCACGACATGAAGCTCTGTGCCTCAATCACGTAAACTACCAAGAACCAAAAATGTCGTTTGAACTGCAATTTAAAGCCATCACAGGGATGTCATATACTTACATTTTCACCGAACATATTCATGTTC